TCCCCCTAGTCTTCGACGTCGACCATTCGCACAGGTCCATTTGGCACCGCAACTGGGCGCTGCGCCGGACCTCTTCTGGGCTCGGTGTGGCCTCCTTGGCTGAAAGCCCCAAAAGCCATCATGCACCCGTGGTCCGAACAAGGGGTTTAACGTTCCGGTGCTTCCAGTTGTGTCTTTTTTTAACTCAGTTGTTCAGTGACCCTGGAAAAAAAGGCAATCCTTCTTGGGGAAGACCATCTTTAGTGGGGCCACCTCAAAAAAGGGAAAAAGGTGCCACTGAACAACTGAGTTAAGGTTGGAGCCCCCAGAATGGTTTCGGTTTCCCTCTTGGTTTCCTTTTAAAGCCAACCAAAACGGGCTTCCAGGCAGCTACCGTAGCAGGTAATTACAGGAAACCATGCATGATGTAAAACCTAGAGGTAGCCATACCCAAGGTTTACCTATACTGTCTTGACTGGAAGCGTTCCTTGGACCAAATTCCCGGATGAGATTCCATATGGCCCGGACTAGCCGGGGAGTCTTGGGACCCTCCACTATTGAGTTATATCCTCTAGGCCTCCATAAGTTACCTCGGTATGCCAAAGAATCACCAATCGCAGAGGCTCTTGGCTGGGCAGTAGATTACCTGCAAAACAGTGGTCAAACTGATTCGTCCCTTTTGTTTGTGGAGGAGACTGACACAATTTGGGCTATTTCTCCAGGTACTTTAGATTGCAGGACAGGGGGAGGTAGACAGGCACAGGCAGGCAGACAGAGACACAGACGGACAGGCAGACGGACAGACAGACAGACAGAGACACAGACGGACAGGCAAACTGACAGACAGACAGACAGACAGACAGGCGGGCAGAAAAACAAACAGGCAGGCAGGCAGACAGCCAGGCAAGCAGGCAGAGAAAGCAGCAAACAAACGGACAAGCGGACAAACAAACAGGCAGGCAAGGTTAGTGTGTTCTTTTTTTGCTGGGGCGTTACTCATCAACATCCCATGTCAGTTGGGAGCGCAATTGATATTGACTTTGGCTCAAGTAAAGTATGGCCACTTCGAATCGTAAAAACCGGCTGTAGAGCTCAGGTGTGAAAGCGCGAAGCTAATGGATTCAAAATATCGAGTCTCGGGGAGCTCAACACCCAGGTCCTTTGGCACCCTTATACTTTCGCGGATCTAGAAATGACGAATCCCCGTTTTCACCAAACCCAAGACCGTGAAGATATGGGGTGCCAAGACACCCTCTGGGACAGGCAGTGGCTGCTCTGAGGCCCTTCAAGGGAAAGCAAAAAGAAACAGCGCCACTTGCGTAAGCCACCTAGAAAAAATGAACAGATTTCCTGAAGTGACAGGTTCCCTTTCAAACCAACAGGGGAAAATCAAACATGTTCTTAAGCAAATGGAAGGAAACAGCACCATCAAAGTTCCCCCGATCTTTTGACACGCAAGCGCTGCCATGGAAAACCGGAAACCTCCAGGATTTTCAACTTCTACCCTAACCAACCGGATCTTTGTGTATGTGTCAAGAAAAGGGGGGACCCTTTTGGTTTACCTCTTGGCTTCCCTTGAAACCAGCCAGCGCCCGGCCTGGGACACGCTCTTCGAGCCCGGGCGTGGTGACAGGGGCGGCGCTGTCCAGCTCAAAAGGCCTCAGCAGAATAAATTCTGATGGCGTTCTGGTGGTGTTCAGGTGAGCAGATATTTTTTTTGGGTGTACATCAAAAGGGGAACTGCGCGGGACCTACCCGAGCCTGCCGTGTGTCCCTCGTCTTGTTAAACTTGACACGTACACGGAGGAGTTTTTCTTCGAAGTGGCGGAGGTTATGAATGGACTACTACGCCACCCTCAAGATTATATATATACATATATGAGCCTACGCGAGCCTACGCGTTTTTGCAGGGTTTCAGCCTACGCGGAGGCAGTTCCTACGCAAAAAGCCTACGCGGCCTACGAGAACTGCGCAACACGAATCCAGCCTACGCGGCTCGGGGCGCTACAACAAACAAACTCTGCTCAGGTGGAGTTCAGATCGGCGTTCACTTGGCCCAGTTCGAGCTTGTTCCAGTAAAGTCCACCAAGGTTGCTCCGAGCCGATGACCAAACTTCAAGGAATCCGGTGTTTGGAAGGGAACCAAAAACCTGTTCTGTAAGGACATGGTAGGTATGGTTCCTTCAGTTTACTTTTCAACTACCTGGACCAGCAAACTACCCTACAAATGGGCTACTGCCTTACAAATAATTTGCAGTTGTGTGGTTCCACTTTTGGGTAGGGTCCAGGTACTTTCTTAGGTGGTTTTTGAACTGCGTCCCTGGCCAGTTTCGAGGTTCGATCTTAAACCGCTTTCGAGGGTCTTCCATTTGATTCTTCTATTTGACTGCTTCTTGTAGAGGGTAGATAGGAAAGCACTGCCCAACCACCAAACCACCAATTATGTAATTATATGGAGGGGTTTGGATCTGAAGGGGTTGGACCGCAGGAAATAAGTCTTTGGTTCCATTTACCAGGTTGCATTTTGGGTACCTATGTTTGACCCACACCCATGAAAAGTTTCCCCTGCTGGTTGTAAAGGTAATCTATCACCACTGGATCAATGGATACTATGTTTTTCCTGGGACCATATTCGGCCTTGTCTCTTTCACTGGCAAACAACGGAGTGAACTCCCAAAGACCTGGACATGCACCTTTCGAGTACACCCAACTTGAATCACCGTCAATACGAAGCCTTGCAGACGGCAAAGGAAGTATCATGGTGAGTAAAAATCGGCTGGCACCTGGACTGCCCTTATATGGCCCACCCATTTCCTGGCAAGTCTTCAAAGAACCCTCTAGGATCACACAGTGCGTTCGGGGGAGGGTCGCAAAATGCGCGCCAGGCTTCCTGATCCATGGTTAAGTCTCCGAGTACTCACTTGCCCCAAGGGCCTAGACAGAAAAAGCTCACCTTTTGGCACCTTTACTACAAGTGAAAAAGGGAAAACCAAAAGGTTAAAAGGTCGGGTTTGAACAGATCCAGGCTACCCTTATAGTAGGTTGACCCTTCGCCATTTTGAAACTTGTTTTTAAACGGTGGTTCTGTTGGTTACCTACTCTACAGTGGAGTCACTGGGATCAGGCTCAGGAAATGCGGGAATGAACCTGGGAATTCATTCCCGAACAAAAGAAACGACCAGTTGGATGGTTTAAATCGGGTCGTTCCATGTCTCAGGTATCGCACCAGCAACTCATTTTGTGGGGTCCCATTCCTGTGTGAAGACCCAAAAAACCAGTTGTGGGCCTGTCTGGAAGCCAGAGGAACTTCCCCCCCCCTCAAAAAAAATAAAAATGAAATAGAGAAAAGGCGGTCACTCCCCCTTCCCCCCCCAAAAAAAAAGCACGTTAGAAGGTCGGTTTTGAACAGCTGAGAGTATTTTTTGGAGGTTGGACATCTGTCGCGCCGTCCAAAAAAAGGCACCCGAGTCCTCCGGCGTGCAGGTGAGGGGGCGCGCCGCACCCCTGGCAATTTGGAATCCATTTCCAACAACCCTGGTGCATGGTGATTCACGTGCCAATAGCAACAAGCTCTGGTTTCCCATGGCTTCAAAGTTGGCAATTCAGTCTTAACCCGGCTGGACTCATTTGACCGGTCTTTGCCCTTCATTTACTCCGTATACTTAGGGCTTACCTGAATTAAAAGGTATGGCTGATAGATCTGGCGAGAAACCATTGGAACCCAAGCATCAAGCTTATAGCTTACCTTCGTTTGGCCAGTGAGGAGACATCCGGCAATGGAAAGGGCATCTCAAGATCCCTCGCCAGAAATCACGCTGCGAATCCTGACGGGCATGTTTCGTTTGTTGGGGGGAACCTCATTTTCGTTTGGTTTTTCCGCGGAACACCAACAGGAAAACCGAAACCAGTGTGGAGGGGTCCCATAAAACAGACACACCCTCGAACTGAAATCCGGTTCGAAAGAGCCCAACCAGCCTGTAAAGACGCACAAGCAACTCATCGGCAGACCGGATGGGTAAATTCATTCGTTACTAACCCAAAAAAACAATACCCACTCAAGGATTCCGGAAGCTTCCTGGGGGTCGGGGGTAAACCAAAACTTTTCTGCGAAGGCGATTTGATTTGTACGGCCAGAAACCGGAGCAGAAATGTTGGGATGTGAATCTTACCGTAGCTGCCAAGCTCAAGCTTGGCAGCTAAAACTGGCTAAAACACCAAAAAATAATCTCCCATTCGACCCTGCAAGGTTGCAAATACCAGCTTCTCCATGGATTGGTTTTGGATTGGTGATTTGCTGGTTAAGGAAGTGGTTTCCCAAAAAAAAACATCCAGAAGCAAGAGTTCAAATCCAAATCCTAAACACCGGCTCCAAACCAGCCAGGGGTTACCTGAAAATCGTGGGTCCTGCAAAAGGACAAAAGGGCTTGGGAATTTGAAACTTGGCTGTCCTGTTAAAGTTATTTTTTTTGTGGGTTACATGGAACCCCCACTAAATCCTAAAAACCTAAAACCTAAAAGCATGGCTGTTTGGGACCCCCGAGCCTATTTCGGCATGTTGGTTCATCAAAAGGTTCCTCAAACATGGGATGACCATTACGGAAACCACCAAACAAAATGACTTTCACCACTACATCGGACAAGCTACCCAACATGAACATGTTGGGGCCAGGACTGGCGATCAACGCCGTCATGCCGTTTTGAGGCGCGGAGCAGTGTTGAAACTTGCATGTCCGGTTGCCAAAAGGGTCCATTTGCTTATATGACTTCATCACAGGGGTTCCATCCGCTTCCGGAACCAACCATGGGTTTGAGTCTACCTGGAGTCTCCGTGACCCTTTAAAAAATGGGGTCATTACCCACAATAATGGGGTCATTGACCCATTTTTAAAGGGTCACAAGGAGACTCCAGGTACCTGGATCAAGAAATGGCAAGCTGCATCCAGCAAGATGTCTCTGTGTCTGTTCAAAGGCCTGAAGTTCTCTCTGCCCTCGGCAAAAGCGAAACGAGCGGCTCCCGTGGCATCGAATGCCCAGCGCAAAAGGCCGTGTCTCATCTCAAGCGCAAGGAATGTATAGCGACACTTCGGCCAAAGCCAAAACAACCACTCCAATGAAGTAGCTACGGGACATGTTGCAAGAAGTTAGCCAAAGACCCACGATCACGCATTTAGGCGAGTTTCCCGTAGAATGTCCACTAGCTCTATTCCTTGCAGCAAACCGGCCTCCAGCTTGAAAAACAGGAACCATTGCAGTGAACACTCACTTCATGAAAACTACGCTGCAGACTCAGAGGATTTCAAAGCAACCTCAGTTCTACAGGAAACGGCTCTCTCAGGGAGCCCTTTGACCTAAAGGGCAACCACACATGCTGCAGCTCCCTTCTGTGAACAATTTTTAATTGGGGACCCTGTGGGTATCCTGGGATGTGAGCTTGTCTACCTCCGCTTTTCTCCCACCCAACCAAGAGTATGTTTGATTCTGGTGGTATATCTCGTAAATCTTTAAGTTGCAGCGCAAACATCTATCAGACGGCTGCACGGCGAAGTCTCTGATCTTCAGAGGATCGGCCGAATTAGAGACACGCGAAGCCGTCAGAGCTGGCAGAAATACGTCCGGAAGGTGACAGGTTCAAGGGTAGCGAGGTACCTGAAGTACTTGAACACCTGTTAACATCCAAGCCACGGGAGAAGTTCACTAAAGAAGGATCCCTTTTGGGATGTTTGTTGGTGTCTGTTGGAATGCCAACCAAAGAGAGTCAACGGGTACCAACTCTGATCACCACAAAGAGTACTTTTAGCTTATGCCTCATATGTAGTCCACCCTGAAATATGACATGATCTTGAAAACCCCTGATTAGGGCTCATAGAATTTGGTTTGGAATCCAGAGCCAACTCCTGTGCGGAATATTCGATTGTCTACAGCTTGTATGAACTGGGCAAAGCTATGTGCTGTCCGAACTTGACGAGTTGCATGCCCCGCGCCTTACTCCAAATAACTCGCCTTGTGCGGGTAGCTTAAACAAACAAAGTGTTCGATGGTGTCTGTTTTTATATATGGGGTTGTGCTTCTTCGGCGGGTCCCCCAATTTTGTCACATACCCATACATACTTCCTGCAGAGGTTAATTCTCCAGGCTGGAATCCATTGGCGCAAATCTAATGAGGGCGGTTGTTTTGAGGAAAACCAAAAGGAAGCCAACCAAGGGGGGTCCGGACTTTCTTGAGAAGCCCATAGAAAACTAAATTCCCTCATGCTCGATTTCTCTTCAGGTGAAGTAAATCCACCAAAACCGTTCCCTAGCTTAGCCAAATCCGCTTGTACTGCGTGAATGTTTAATAAACGTTGACCAACCTGAGACAAGGACGCCGACAAAAGCAAGGTTGCCCCGACCTGTCCTGTGTCATGCCCAAACAGGCTGCCCTGAATCTGAATGTCGCCTCTCTTAAGCCATATGGATGACAAACAGCATTGCCACAAGAAACCGATAGGCCAAACTCTGCGCAACTGATGGGAGATGAAACAGCACGTCTCTGTTGGCCGCATGGGAAAACTTAGTGACCCTATGTCCCTCCCAAATTCTTCATAGTGAAATCAGGATTTTGTTTGGACCAAAGCTCACTATGCATGATCATTTCTACCAGCGGACTTGATAAAATCGTCTGCGGCAGCCCTCGCTGCCGATCTTGTCACTTTCGCCTGAGATCTGCGTGATCGAAAGCCGCCCGAAACGCCGGGGATCTTTTGGCACCTGAACCGGGGGATTCACAGGAATACCCGGTCCCAGAGATACCTCATATTTGCGGATTTGAGGAATCTGTAATTAACACATCCCCTTGTATTGAATCGAGGAACAATAAACATTGGGTACTTGGACCCTCTGGGATACAGTTCAAACCAAAAAACCATTTCCAACACAACTCACCTACCGGCCAAGAAGTTGATGTGTAAACCACCTAAAAGGGAAACTTGTTTGATCCTGCTTAAAAGGTACTCAGTCATGAGTCATGACGGGGTCCCTGTCAAGCCTATACTGAAAACAACTAAACCGGGATGAGGTTTGGGGTGTTCTACACTTGTAGGCGGCATTTCATGAACTCTGTGTGACCCGGAAAAAGAACACAGGTCCTGTGGAACCACCCTTTTTGGGTTGGGCGAAGCCACTGACTATCCTCGTGGGGAATTGGCTTGAATCGGAACTCCCAATTGAACTTGCGGAATCCTAAGGCGCTAAAAGTTGCAGGCAAGAGACAAATGCAATCAAGCGATGAATCACCCCGAACTGCACTATACAACTCTAGTTTGCTAAGGGATCCATCCCTGAAAACCAGCAAGATTGGGCCTCAAGGCTCGCTCGAGAAGGCTTCCCAGAGAAACTTCAAGGCCTCACTTCGACCCTGTCCACCCCCTAAGGGTTTCAACAAATACCCAGATATCTGTGACCCCGAACTTCTCTTAAATGGCACCAGAATCGGCTTGGCTTGGTTGCCATACTCAAACTCACCTGAAAATCGGGTGCACAATTATTGCAACTACGCAACTAGTGCGGGTTTTGTTCGGGCCTTGAAGATTGGGTGGTTGCTCGTGCGCATGGAAAAGCACAGTCACCTGGTGCCGATGAGTGGTTAGCACAACTTATGTGCAACCAAACAGTTGAAGGTCCAACTAGAACACATCAACATGGTACGCATGCACTTGATGCCAACTTCAGGTGACCCTATTCCAACCCCAAGACAGTGTTCTGTGCTTGTGGAGGAAAAAAGTAAAACGGAGGTCCAACAACATCTTTGAGGGGCGGAAAAAAATAATGGGTCCCACTTCTGGATTCAAAATGGGAAGCTCGCTTCCTTAGAGGATTGAGCAGAAATGGTCAGGACTTTTTTTTACCCTCGTTCTAGCTACCACGGCACCTGACAGGGGGTCCCTGCAAGCGAAAAACAATCATCCTGGTACCTTCATCGTGCACCACCTAAGAAACCATGGGAAACCAATCTCTATTGGTATTTGCTGGGGAATCACCATTTCAGGGTTTCTTAGGTGGTGCAGGAATTCGTCCATCCACGGTATGTTAGTGGAAGGGAGGGTACCACGAACATTATCTTCCCAAGAAGTACAAAGTCCAGAAGCTCAGGAGTGAGGACATGGAGATAACAAACGAATTCCATGCGGACCTCCCCTTGATGTACTAGTCTGGAAAAAAAAAACAAAAACACTGCTTCCAGGACGGCCACAATAGGAGTTCACCAGGTAAAGCGGTGGGTCGCGTTTTTGATGGCACCCACTTAGGGTGGCTTTACGGAGAAAGAAAAGGAACACCACCAATTTCAAGGGCTCACTATTTTGAGACAAACCCGTGGAAACCCTAGAGGTAAACATACGTGGTTGACAGTGGTTACCTACTATCGTGGCTTGAGTAGAAGCACTGGGAAAAGTGAACCACGGTTAACCTTCTGCGCCCAGATCATGGGAAGCCGCTAAAGGGTTGAAGGCCGATTCGCTCTAGACGAGTGATACAGGATGAACCATTTTGTCATACTGGCTCCAACAAATCATGAAATGGGGAATCCTCAAGAACCTACGGTACTTGGTGAGCTCGTTTTACCCCATGAGCTCGCAATAAAAAAGAAAAAACACAAAACGTGATGCTAGAGGATGAACCATTCTCCTCCCAGGGGCAGACCGCGGGTTTTGGTCCATGTCTCCACTTACCAGGGCAAGCCATTTTGGCACCGGTTTTTTGAATTCGCCACAGCCATTTCTGGAGCGAAGCCGTTTCGGCGCGGCCTCAACGACGCACAGGCCGCCACAAGAAATCGGCGAGGCGGGCAGACCTCAGGCAAGCCTTCCATAGGTACTCGCCCGCCACAAGGACATGCCTGTACTTCAAATATCCTCTTTTTTAGGACATTGCTTAAAAAAAACGGTTTTCCAGGTTGAAATACCTTCTTTGTAGTACAGGCTCGACATCATACCCCCCCCCAAAAAAAACACGCGTATTGGGTGGTTGGCGGGGTAGGAGTGAGTCCCCCGGTGTTGGTGAGAATTTTTCAAGCAAACAGCTCGTCCCATGTCCTTGCAAAATGAACCATAGACTACTCTAAGAGAAGCTTCCTCGTTTTTTCCAAGGATTCTTCTTTTCAGGAAACCATGAAACACCCTGCAAAAACAGCCATCGGCTGCTGAAAAGCATGGGTGAAAACTCATTATGTCCAACGATTATTCTTTGCAGGAAACCATGAAACACCCAAGCACAACAGCGATCGGCTGCTGAAAAGCATGGGTGAAAACTCATTATTTCCGATGATCTTTCTTTTCAGGAAACCATGAAACACCGAGGAAAAACAGCGATCGGCTGCTGAAAAGCATGGGTGACAACTCATTCTTTCCGATGATCCTTCTTTTCAGGAATCCATGAAACACCCAGGAAAAACCGCGATCTGCTACTGAAAAGCATGGATGAAAACTCATTCTTTCCGATGATCCTTCTTTTCAGGAAACCATGAAACACCCAGGAAAAACCGCGATCGGCTGCTGAAAAGCATGGGTGAAAACTCATTCTTTCCGATGATTCTTCTTTTCAGGAAACCATGAAACACCCAGGAAACACAGCGATCGGCTACTGAAAAGCATGGGTGACAACTCATTCTTTCCGATGATCCTTCTTTTCAGGAAACCATGGAAAAAAACCAGGAAAAAACGCGATCTGCTGCTGAAAAGCATGGGTGAAAACTCATTCTTTCCGATGATTATTCTTTTCAGGAAACCATGAAACACCCAGGAAAAACAGCGATCTGCTGCTGAAAAGCATGGGTGAAAACTCATTCTTTCCGATGATCCTTCTTTTCAGGAAACCATGGAAAAAAAAACCAGGAAAATCCGCGATCTGCTGCTGAAAAGCATGGGTGAAAACTCATTCTTTCCGATGATTATTCTTTTCAGGAAACCATGGAAAAAAACCCAGGAAAAACCGCGATCTGCTGCTGAAAAGCATGGGTGAAAACTCATTCTTTCCGATGATCCTTCTTTTCAGGAAACCATGGAAAAAAAAAACAGGAAAAACCGCGATCTGCTGCTGAAAAGCATGGGTGAAAACTCATTATTTCCGATGATTATTCTTTTCAGGAAACCATGGAAAAAAACCCAGGAAAAACCGCGATCTGCTGCTGAAAAGCATGGGTGAAAACTCATTATTTCCGATGATTATTCTTTTCAGGAAACCATGGAAAAAAACCCAGGAAAAGCCGCGATCTGCTGCTGAAAAGCATGGGTGAAAACTCATTCTTTCCGATGATCCTTCTTTTCAGGAAACCATGGAAAAAACCCAGGAAAAACCGCGATCTGCTGCTGAAAAGCATGGGTGAAAACTCATTATTTCCGATGATTATTCTTTTCAGGAAACCATGGAAAAAAACCCAGGAAAAACCGCGATCTGCTGCTGAAAAGCATGGGTGAAAACTCATTATTTCCGATGATTATTCTTTTCAGGAAACCATGGAAAAAAACCCAGGAAAAACCGCGATCTGCTGCTGAAAAGCATGGGTGAAAACTCATTCTTTCCGATGATTATTCTTTTCAGGAAACCATGGAAAAAAACCCAGGAAAAACCGCGATCTGCTGCTGAAAAGCATGGGTGAAAACTCATTCTTTCCGATGATTATTCTTTTCAGGAAACCATGGAAAACACCCAGGAAAAACCGCGATCTGCTGCTGAAAAGCATGGGTGAAAAGAATGGTTGCACTCCCCTAGAACTTCAGAAGTCTCCAAACCTCATGCACCTCCGATTCCGTAGGGCCTGGAGGTCGCGTTCTGCCAAGGATGCAGGAATTGAATCTGTCCAGGAAGCCCAAAACTCGAGGTAACAGGAGGCTGTTGAAAAGAACGATGGTTGAAAAGAATGAGGAACAAAGCCCTAGACAAGTACTATGTTCGCGGAAGAAACAAAACAGTAAATCTTAATCAAGAGAGAGAGAGAGACATGGGTGTGTCTCAAAATAGGGGAGCCCTGGAAATTGTTGGTTACCTGTTGGTTTTCGTTACACTCCACCCAAAGGGCTTCTCCATTTTGAGAAACACACATATTTGTAGAGTCTGTTTGCACCTCTTTCGGTCAGAGCCAAATGCTTGTTGCCAAGATCCACACATCCCAAAGGGTCCAAGTTCCGTGTAAGGATTTGACGCCATCCAAACAAGCAGATTCCATGCACTAACATGTCCTTTTCCTGAACTCGCTCTGAAAGGCTCCCTCTTCGGCTCCCGGGTCCCAGCCATAGGTGGCCTTTTGGGTTTCCCTGATCACCCTATCTAAATCAGTGGCATCTATCTAATTTTTAAGCAAACCAAAAAGGCGCCGAGACTGTCATTTCCAAGCTAAGAGATGGAAAACATGACTCCTGGCACAAACCCCATCTAGGGCCAAACCTATTTTTTAAGCAAACCAAGAAGGACATCTAAAAGTAGATGGGTTTCCCTGATAAATGGGACATAAACCATCTAAACCAGCGGCATCGCCCTCTCATTTTGTTAAGCAAACCTGGAACCTTGGGCAAAAGCCCCATCTAAACCAGTGTCCTCGCCCTCTCATTTTTTTTTAGCAAACCAACCCAAGAAGAGCACCTATGGTCCCAGCCCCTTGGCCCTTCCAAGCAGCGCTCCGGCGCTTTTGCAGCTTCTCCAGGGCCCCCGGGCGCGGCTTTCTGGTCCTCCGCGCTGTCGCTGAAGAGGCGCGCGGACTCGGAGCGGCGCGATCCACGCGATCGACGCGATCGCCGGGGGGCCCGCTCGACGCGAAGCCGCGCCCGGTCCGCCTTTGGGGAGCTCAAAGTCACGTGCTTCCAGGCGCTTGCGCCCAGTTACCTCTACCTAGAGTCTCCATGACCCTTTAAAAAAAGGTCCATGACCTATAGGGCAATGACCAACCATTTTTTAGGGTCATGGAGACTCTAGGTAGTGGTCGCTGGTTGATATCTATTGGAAAAGATATCCCAAGTGAGACGCATGTTTTCCAGTGCTTGGCGCTTGCCACTATAGTACGTAACGCGGCTTCCTTCGGCTTCCTTGCATTTAGGTTTTACATGAGGGTTTCCGATGGCTGCCCGTTGTGGCTTGCCAAGCACTGGGACCCTTGACTTTGGACACCAAATAAAGGTGTTTAAAAACCAAGGGAAAACAGTGGCTGGTGGCCAAATATGTGTTTTCGCACCACCGGTCAGACTGGTTTCTGATTCGACTCCACCGCAAATATCAAGGAATGCTACGGTTTCGTTTCCATGGTAACACAATTTCGTGGTGAGGTCTCGGATTTCGCATCCACAGAAACGGGTCAACCCTGGAATCGATTATGTCACCGATGGCTTTGGATGGGTTCGGGGATTTCACCTGTCCCGTATATCGATACCATCCAACCAAGGGGAGGCTGAAGAACAAGAGCCCCCACCCCCCATATGTAGAACATGCCACAGGAAATCAAAGGGAAATTGCTCACAGGACTCAAAAGGCTGATTACATTCCTTACTGAGAACCAATCCACCGCATGGCCTCATGCGTTCCGCTTGTTTTTCGCATCACGGACACGACTTCCTCATCGAAAGGTTAGCTTCCTTCTGATTGGTGTGTTGGCGGTTGGCTTGGTGGTTTGGCTTGTCGTGGTTGGGCGCTTTCCCATTTACCCTCTACAAAAGCCAGGCTTCAAATCCCCACCAATCCAAAGCAACAAGCAAGGCTTACCTGAAACCCTTAAACCAACTATTGGACGAACGAACAAGCTGGGATACAGAGGGAACGGGGATATGGGGGGATTCCCTTGGCGCCATTTCCCATATCAAACTTATTCAAGGTGCATCAAACGGGGAAATCCTCCCGTATCCCAGGGTTCCCCCTGTAAACCAATTCTTCGTTTGGGGACCATGGAGCTCTTTGACTCTTTTGGGAAAATTTGCAACGTCAGCTTCACGCTCCGAATCTTGTGAAGCCAACACGTGTCATGAAAACAACACAACCACTAGCACCAAGAGGACGCAAAACCACCTTTGGGTATGTAGGTGAATCAAAATCAAAAGGAACGCGCCTTGGGGGGGAGGGAATCATTTTAGGGAGGGTAAGTTTGGCATACCTGCAAGAGCAAGTCTACATTTGCTGAAACCACTCTGCAAAAGAAAGTCCAAGGAACAATGTTGTGTCCAGAGGATCCCAAAAGGTACCTGTTATTTCCGCGGATTTCTTTTGAATCTGACATTTTGCTGGTGCTTAGGGAAAGAGCAGGGGTTTTAGGAATTCACCCTGAAATGAAACCATGTTTTTCTTGGGGTCATTCCAACTCCTTGTACCCAGTTGGACCCTTTGGGGCAGGATCCATACTCCCACCCTGCAAGCGACCAAAGGGAGTTGCCATGTGAGCGGGTGATTTGCATTCCCTCGAGCTTTGGTCCGAGTCACCAAAGTGTTCTAAGGGTACATTAAGGTGAGTGCGCCTAACAAAACCGATTCACCGTTGGCTATGTCAGTTCAAACAACCGTTTCGGGTGAATGTCTACCATAGTGAAAGCAACCTGATGAAAAGGAGAGTTTGTGCTCTTGCACCCAATGAGGCAGAGTGATCCATCTGTCCATAACGTGCATTTGCGTTCGAGGTGCCAGTAAGAAATATCATAGGTCCCTGCGATGATCTCACATGTTCTTATGTCCCAAACCAGGGAAACACACCTCCATCAAATGCAAGTCAGGTGAGATCAAGCAAAGTAGCCCACACGCATGGCAGATGCGATCTCAGTTGCCCAGCGGTTCCATAAAGAACAGTGTTGCCTTGGTTGCTCGTTTTTTGGGTAAGTCCTGGGTTCTCATGGCTTCTAACAAACGGGTTCCTTTCGGATGCGAAAGAACGCATAATTGTCCTTAAGATGCAAGCGATCTTTGACCCCCTTAGAATCCCTTCTGTAACTGAGGCTCCCCAACAAGGTTGCTCGCTTCGAAGAGCGTTCCTTGTGTTTCCCCTTAAATCATCACACCGCCTAAACGAAACTCACATTCCGCAGGCCAAACAAAGTACCCTCCCACCAAGCAACATGGAAGCTGAAAGGGGATCCCTTTAAAAGGAAAATGCTCCATACCAGGCCCCTCTGTCAGGTTTCATGTTAATTGGTCGAAGGGTAATGTTTAACACCTCAAACACCTCGTTGAAGTCGAGCCAATGCCTGTGTTTTCGTCAGGTTCCACGTGTTAATTGGTGGAGAGTACCTGGAGTCTCCGTCCGACCCGAATCAAAACAGGTTGGTCTCTCCCCCAATGAGCGGCACGTCTTGTTTTTTCTCTCTGTGCGCGTGGCATCCTCGTCGCGCGCGCACAGACCGGCAATGTACGGCTCGCTGCCCTCCTGTGCTCGAAACACGGCGCCGAGGCTTGACCAAGGCGAAAACAGCTACCCACCAAACCAATTAACATGGAACCTGAGGGGGGGGCCTGTTTTGCACCATGTTCCTTTTAAAGGGATCCGCTGCCGGGTTCCATGTTAATGTTAATGTTGACCCCATATTACTCAATCAACCAGTTTTCTGTCAGGGGGGGTATTGGCCCTTCAAAAGTCGTCTGATTCCCCACGTTTCACGCAGGGACCCCCTATGAATAAACTGGGGTCGATTGGTATGGGGTCAACATGAATGACAGGGATGTTAATTGGTGGGAGGGTAATTGATAGGGTTGCACGCGGGGGCACGTATGCACCAATCAATGCTCCACGAGGAAATTCATCCATGACCTCATCGGCAGCATCGACTGCAAAATCAAGAATAGCATCATGGGACGCAAGGCTCGCTGTTCAAACAAACAAACCTCAACACCCAAACTTCAGCACCGGGAATAGCGGTGAAGTGGCGTACTGACCGTACTGCAGACAAGGCTCTGAAAGAAGCCCACCCAACTATTAAGATGCTTGGGGTCCCCCAACGCTTTGGGTGTGTGAGTATGGTTGCTCACTGTTCAAGTCTCCTTCATTCCGCCATTGTGGACACGCACGTACAGGTCCACCACATCGCACACCTCGCCAGAGAAGAGCGAGTGATGCGAGCAAGTGCTCGGCTCATCCGCGCGCGATGCAATTAGTGAACCTCCCGGAACACACTGGGTGTGAAGCATTGAGTCTGCTTAGATGTTCTGGGACGAATCATTAAATTGCAAACAACCCTGACTTTAGGGGACTTACAACCATTGTAAGTGGGTTACAACCAAGGTTACTAACCACTTGGCTAACTCCCAGACAATCTAAGTGGAACGCACAAACAAAGTCATCTCCTTTTCTCTTTGGGTATATCAAAATGGGCTGCAGTAGCACGACACAGCTTGGTGCACAAGCGAAACCCGTCTCACTTCCTGAGAGCGTTTAAATTTTGATCTTTCCACTCAATTCGTTTTCTCCCCAAATCAGGGTGCTATCGGCTCAACGTCCGAGGATAAAACGATTTCCCTGGACCCTCAATCTGCCTGTAAAAAATGGTGTCTTGCCCATCATAATCAGGGGATGATTTGCTAAATCTAGTTTGAGAGGTGCGTTGTATCTTTGGTGAGGTGAACATAGCCTCCCTGCACAGGAAAGATGTGCAAAGCTGGCCCAAGCCAAGAGACGAGCTAAAATCTGAGACTCCGAGTCAAAATTGTGGTTTCAAAGCATGAGATGTGTGACAACCTTCAGGTCTTCTATTTGAAGCTCAAAGCTTTAAGGTGACGCCATTTTCAACATTAAACATATCCACTTCAGTTGGCAACCTAGTAGGAAAGGAGGAGGGACTGTCGGTACGGATTCTCGGCGTTTCAGATGGTATGATCGTTGATTCGTCCGGGCGCGGTTTGTTGTGAGCAGTAGCTCAGTTGTGTATACACATGTTATGACGAATCCCTTTGACACAGCCAAAGCCCGGAAATATGGGGGTGGGGAACTTGGAGCCTCTGGTAGAACGGAGCACGCCGGGCGATTGTAACTTTCGCACTTCATGGTGCTTGTACGGGCAGCACAGTAAAACCTCCTGCGCAGGGTCGAGTCATAGCCCGGACAGACTTGCTCAGTGAATAATTCACACAAATCCGTTGCCAAAGGTCCCTTGTACTGAAAAACCCCTCCCAGCCCTTCGCGAAGGGCACCAAGCCGAGCCGAAAGTCCTCTCTCTCTCTCTCTCTCCCTCTCTCTCTCTGTCTCTGTCTCTCTATCTCTCGCTCGCTGTCTTTCTCCAGCACACGCTTTGGAGTGCCTCGATATCATTCGGAGGCTATGATGGGAAAGGGAAAAAAGGGGGTGTCGCAAAATGGGAGCTGGCTCATTTCCTCAAATGGCAACGGTTTCCTTTGGGTTTCCCTTTGAAAACCAAACGCGGTTCACGATTTCACAAACTTCCATATAGTACAAATAAACATGATAATAATCCTGATGAGAATGACCTATGTTCAACCCAGCGCAACAATCAAGCCCCCTGGAACTCATGATCACACACCACATGTGATCAGAAACACGCATCGCTTGGGCCAATACTTAGCTTCCGTTTGAGTTAGTGTTGCTGGAGCTTTCTGAGATCTACCGACTAGGCTGGCTTCCCTCAAGCCTCCTTGCCCAGGAAAATGCCAAAAGAAACACCGGAAAGGCTTCGGAGCATCCGCAATATAACCGAGAGGGGAAATAGATATCAATTGAGTCATCAAAACCTGGAATGAGAGCAGTGTACCGCAAAGCATCTGAAGAATCAGACGTCCTTGGTGATTTTTCGCTGGTTGGAGCCGTCCTCAAACCTCCACTCACCAGTTTCGTACCTCAATTCTTTCCTACAAAAGGGTAAATGAAACTATAAATGGAATTTCAGGGTGTCGGCACCCCAACCCCAGCTCCACCCCAACTCCACCGCAACTACGCCTCAACTCGACTCCCACTCGACTCCCACTCCAACTCCACCCCAACCCCACCCTAAGGGGGTGTCAAGTCCATGTTTGAGGTACTCATCAAAACCTGTTTGTAAAAATGGTGTACCCAAAAACCATGCAAAGGATTAAGCATGCGGATATCTGCGGATATCCACAACTATTGGGACTGTCCCATAACCTCCATGTACCCGAATTGCTTTTCTCACTTGCCCAAACCCAGAAATAGAAGGTCAAACAGTCAATTCGCTTTGGGCGACCCAGTTTTCCGCAAGCTCAACGAGTCCGCGAAATGACGCGTTGCACGCCTCCGCAACGGAGCTCGGCACAACTGCTGCCTCAGAGTGAGGGGGACTTCTCTGGCTTGTCTTTCTTCGTTTTAGGGGACGCCCCTAAAAAGTGGCGCTTTTGTCCTTGTCGTTTCATTAAGACACAAATCATCAACCCCTTTGCGACACCCAACAGAACCCACACAAATCATAACACAGACAGCCCCTATGTGCAACGTTGGACCAGTGCCCTCTCCCACGGGGACGCGGTGTTTGAAAGAAGAGCCAAGAACCTGTCCACACTCTCTGAAATAGGATGCCGTCCCCACCCCCACCCCCAATGAGCAAACTGGTGGATGTTGGGTCAACTTTACTGGACCAGTGAACTTTGCCCAAACAACTATGGCTTCCTGAAGCACTGAAGGTCTGTTCCACCGAAAAGGACCCAAGATAAGCGCATGTTCTAACCCAAGAACAAAGGCTTCAGATGGTACAGGTGCTCAGGAGTCATGCAAAATGGGGACCACAGCGAACACCGAACAACCGGGTGTTTTTTCCTCGAAGCTGGTGTGCTCAAGACAGTGAGGAATTGCCAGGCTGGGGGGAAATCTACCTCCGCCTTCGCCTAACAAATGAGTAGTGTCCACGTGTGAAATGCGCAAGTTCACCTTGCCCATCCGGCATTGGGCTTAAAATGCACACCAATCCAGACTGAAAGCAGTCATGCCAAGTGGTAACGATGCCCGTTACTCACAAACCCCATTCGCTGTTCACAATGAAGCGCCTGAAACGGTTGGCTTGTTTTTGCTTTCTCTTTAAAATATTGGTGTGGTGAAAACGGGGATTCGTCAATTGAAGATTCCTCAAATCCGCGAACAAAAAAGAGGTAATTACATGGACCCAGACGTCAAAGAACGACAACTACGCCTCTCCCAGCAACATGGAACACTGGAGCGGGTTCCAGGGCAATCTGGCAAAGACAGGTGTCGGTATATCGCACCGATTGCAATCATGTTCATTGCCTACATATTCCAAAAGCCCCTAAGTTGTTATATCCAAGAACATAGGAACATGTGATTGGGATTGGGCTTTCAACGGACAGCCAACAGGAACACCCCTTCACGACCCCTACGATTTTCCCAAATCCTTTCAGGCCTGGGATTCGCACAGCTCACTCGTCGTGTCGATTCGGCGACTTGGCGCCCAAACACTTCTCCGGATGGCCTCCTCAGGCACCTCAGCAGAAGAGAGACCACGGAGAAATGACCCGGCTTTTGGTAACCAACCAACATAAGTTTTCTCCACAACCCTTGGTATGGTAGCAAAAACTGTGTCTTTTGCAGCCCCCCAGTAAAAATGAACAGAACCACAAAAACTCACAAACCAAAACGTATGGCGAGGACAATGAAGTTTGGTCACTGGTGGTTTGGAAATTGTGTTGGACATTGTTCGGAGCATGTGTGTGTGTGGGTGTGTGTTTGAACATATACGTATTACGTATGGGTTGTTTTAGAGGGTATCCAAAGGAGCACACTTGCAGGAGGATGCCTCTTTCAGAGAAACACCGTGCGTTTGGCATTTGGGAGTTGGTCCAAAGGTCCTTTACGTGGGATGATGATTGGGGAAACCAACTAAACAGATACTTCAACCCACATGGGAAAAGTTACCCATGGTCATGGCCGGCCCTACGTGGAATATTGATCAACGCTCCGGGCACAGCGAATCGAACTCGGCCAGGACGCAAGCTGTCAAACATGACCCGGTGGAACCCAGGAAAACCGATATGCAGTAACCCTTCGCTATGTTCCCGAAATGTGTTTTTTTACTATCAGGGTTTTAGGGCTTAGGGTGTTGGAGGGAGAAATAATAATTTCGGCCATATTATCCATATAGTAGGTAACCCTTCGCTCTTTTCCCTTTGGTTCTTAAAAGCGGGTTTGTTTGATTCCCCGCTACACAGGCAACGGATCCACTGGGTGAGACACCACACACAAGTAACTTGATTTGGGGGGTCATCGTCGCTTGGTCTTTTCAGGTTTCAGAGAATTGAGAGTGTTCAGCCAGTGGTTCAGGAGGTCAAGTTCCGTTTCGTGTCCATCAGTGGGATCTAATTATCTGTGAACTTGGCGCACAAAACAAAGGTCCTTTCTTGTGTGGTCTTGTGATGATGGTGGAGTGGAAGAGTACCATGTCTGTGATACCAACGTTGAATTCCCACCCATGGCTTTATCACTTCAGAAAGCGGCAAACACGAAATGGGCCAAGTGAGAAGCGGGGTGTCAAAAATCGGGGTCCTTGTTGGTATTCCCTATGCAGTGTCAAACTGGCCTCCTTGGTTTCTCTATGTGGGTCTGTCTTTTTTGAGAATTCCCTTTTTTTGGTTGGTGAAAAAGGAATCCTTCAAGGAAAATCACAATCTTTAAGGTACCCCTATGTTGAGACACATCCCATTTAAGGTTCGGTCCAAACTCCAGCTGTCTATGGTCCATTTGGAGTTCGGGAAATGGGACCTCGAAATGTCGCGACCAACCTGGGACCTGAATTTCCTATGTCCTCTTGGGGGAGCGTTCCTAATCTTGACTGCTCAAAACGTGTTCAAATGCCTTTTGGACTTGCCTTTTCTGGGAAAGCGACAGCCAGCCGAGAACAGGCGCTGCCTCCGGAGGCATGTACGCCACTCCTGGCCTTGATTGCTGAGCGTCTGCCTTCAAGTCGATGTCAGTGTGCATCGTCACTGCTGGTGAGTGCTCTGGATGCAGCTGACGCTTTGATGGAGTCTTCCAATCTCAGCGCGTCGAATGCTCCAACAAAGTGCACCTTTGGTATGGTGATGTGCACATCCGCCAAGATACGGCCTTGAAGACCGGCTGGCATACTCTCAGGCGCTGCCTTGTCAACTTAGGAATCACTCCTCAAACATTGATGCATGATGCACCCCTATCGTGTTCTGGTAGTGGGTTGGGTGTACCTGGACCCTCAACTACCAAAAGAGAAATGGGAAGTTACACCCCCGCAAACAAACTTTTTTTTTTTTTTTAAAGGTGTATGGCTTGTTGTTGTTTTTGCATAGGCCCATAATTAAGGGTAGTTCGAGGCTGCGGGCACCTGCTTTTTCACCTAAATGGGTATGTGGAGCCTTTCTGTTAGGAAGCTGCAACGGCTTTCCTTTTGGCGTCGGTCTTTCAACCCAACGGTACACTGCCCCAAAACTATGGGCTGAGTTTGGTTGCTTGATTCCATCTACCAGGACCATCGATTTCACCAATGGCACACCTGCCATTTTCCAGGACTATCTAATTCACCAAAAAGACACCTACCATTTACCAGGGCCATCTACTTCACCAAAAGGACACCTATATACCTACGTACCTAAGGCCATCTATTTCACCAAACGGACGCCTACCATTTCCCAGGGCCATCTGCTTCACCAAAAGGACACCTATTTACCTATGTAGCTAAGGCCATCTATTTCACCAATAGAACACCTACTGTGGATGGACGAAATCCTGCACCACCTAAGAACCCCTCACTCTGTCCATCCACAGTATTACCTATGTACCTATGTACCTATTACCCATCCAGCACCTTCGTATGTACCTATGTACCTGGGAGTGTCTTATGATGATAGGCGTCTTTTACGTAGTTGCTATCTATTTACCTGAGAACCCCGTTCCAACCAACCAACCAACCAACCAACCAATCAGGGGACCAGCCCTGGTTTAAAAAAAAAGCCCTGAAGGAAAACACAGAACACCTACCAAAAGAACACCTACCAAAATTCATCAAAAGAGGACACCTATGGACACCTATATACCTACCAAAATTCATCAAAAGGACAAAACAAAAACCCTATGTACCTAAACGTGTCTTGCCCCGTTTCCTCGTGGCTTCAACCCCTCGCTGCATGCCTCGGCCTCTCGAGGCGGAGGGGCCTCAGGCCCGGGCCTTGCGCCCGCTCTGCGCCGCCCGCGCCTCCGCGCGGCGCAGCAGCACCGGCACCACCTCCGCCTCTCGGACGGAAGGCTCCGGTTCTGCCGGTGGGTGGGGACGTGGCAACGGGGAAGTGAAGGGACCAAAACACTCCGAAAAAGCATGGGTGTTTTTTCCACCAAGATGTACGACCAAGGTCTAAAACTGAGCGACTTGTGGGTATATTTACCCATAACGACTTGTATCACCAACGTTTAACACTCAGGGAAGTAGGCTCCCAGCCACAAGGTTCCCCTTCTCATTATTGGGGGCGGTGCTCAAAAAATGATAGACCTGACCTTGGGACCTCGAAAGAAGGGGGAGGGGGGGGGTGTTAATCCTGGGTATGCACTATGGGCCATGGGGATCACTTTTGGAGGGGCCCCCACTCCATATAAATAAACAGGGGTATTAATCCCGGATCAACAATATATATATATATATACTAGGTCCGGAGTTTCTAAGCTCGTTCAACGTGAGCGACCAACCAGTTCAGGGTTTCAAGGAGTTGAACAAAGCGCTTGGCAACGCCCTCTCCCACCAGATATAGAAACACAAAAGTATCTCTCCTAGGTCCTCCAGGTGGGGCTAAACACCAGGGCAAACCGCAGGGTTTAGTCCTGGTTTCCATTTCAGGTGCCATGTTGGAAGTTCCATGTCTAGGTCCTCCAGTAGAGAGGTTAGAATAAGGCACCAACTTGTTTTTTCTGTAGTCTATCTTAGTAGGGGAAGCCCTCCCCAAAAAATGTGTAGAAGGGCACTACTGAGGGCCTAGTAGCCAATCAGGAGACAAATTTCACCAGTTATCAGCCAATAGTACCCATGGTTCTGGAAGCTACTGACGAAGTTGGTTAGGGCTAACCCAACTTTAAAACATTTATAAGCATGGCTCGGGCCCGAAAAGCCATCCTCAAAGGGTAGCAAGGCTCTATTTACGAATGGGACATGGTCAAACCATAGGGGCTGGACTCAAAACCCTTCCTGCAACTTCCCTCCCTGTTTGCCAATGGCATGGGTTGTCCGCCCCAAATCGCCAGGTAAGGACGAAGAACCTGGAACAAGACCCTCCAGTCTGGGAAAGGCATGGGCTGTTTACCCCATCAGGAGGGCAAGAAGAAGAGCCGGCAGAAAGTACTGCGGGTCTTTAGGGCCGCTTGCAAAATCAGGAGTCAGCTTCATTCCCCGGGCCAAGGTAAGTCATGGGCAGTGTACATCATAATTTAGCCGTTATACATACATACATACATACATACATACATACATACATACATACATACATACATACATACATACATACATACATACATACATACATAGCATTACATTACATTACATTACATTACATTACATTACATTACATTACATTACATTACATTACATTACATTACATTACATTACATACATACATACATACATACATACATACATACATACATACATACATACATACATACATACATACATACATACATACATACATACATACATACATACATACATACATACATACATACATACATACATACATACATACATACATACATACATACATACATACATACATACATACATACATACATACATACATACATACATACATACATACATACATACATACATACATACATACATACATACATACATACATACATACATACATACATACATACATACATACATACATACATACATACATACATACATACATACATACATACATACATACATACATACATACATACATACATACATACATACATACATACATACATACATACATACATACATACATACATACATACATACATACATACATACATACATACATACATACATACATACATACATACATACATACATACATACATACATACATACATACATACATACATACATACATACATACATACATACATACATACATACATACATACATACATACATACATACATACATACATACATACATACATACATACACATACATACATACATACATACATACATACATACATACATACATACATACATACATACATACATACATACATACATACATACATACATACATACATACATACATACATACATACATACATACATACATACATACATACATACATACATACATACATACATACATACATACATACATACATACATACATACATACATACATACATACATACATACATACATACATACATACATACATACATACATACATACATACATACATACATACATACATACATACATACATACATACATACATACATACATACATACATACATACATACATACATACATACATACATACATACATACATACATACATACATACATACATACATACATACATACATACATACATACATACATACATACATACATACATACATACATACATACATACATACATACATACATACATACATACATACATACATACATACATACATACATACATACATACATACATACATACATACATACATACATACATACATACATACATACATACATACATACATACATACATACATACATACATACATACATACATACATTACATACATACATACATACATACATACATACATACATACATACATACATACATACATACATTACATACATATATATATATGTATTACTTAATAAACTACCCACGCCGAAACAAATGCCCATAAACATGGGAGAGCTAGCTCACCCGTGACTGAGTAATTAAAGGCTAGTGTGAGGGTCCAGGCACCTTGGTCCATTCCCCCGATTCCACCTGCGAACAATTCGGACGGCTTCGACTTGGTTGCCAGCCTCGGCCACCTCCACATGAAGCAGCGTGAGCCTAGAGCCCCCGACCCACGCCCCTCGGCTTTGACATAAAGTGTTGAACACGCGGATGAGTAAATCATGGACTGTTAGTAACAAGGGGGATAAGCCCAGGATAAGACAAGGATAAGCGTTGAATAAGGCCTTCTTAAGTGGTTAACAAGGGATGGTCCCCCCCTTCCGCATAGCCATAGCCCTCTTGGGAGTCCATGGGTAACCCCCTTTGGTCTTCTTTGGGGTGTGGATAGCAACCCAGTTGAGGCATGACGAAAACCTGGTGATCCCAAAACCATGCCAAGGCGGCTGGCACTCATTTCTGGTAGGGACTCTCCCTTACTAACACTCGGTTTCTTTCTTCTCCCCTGCTCAAAGCTTAACTTTTGGTGGTTTAATGGAACAATCCATTAGACGGCAAAAAACTAAAGTCCTAACATCCAAGTGAAATGCACCTCTGTAACCTTCAACTACCCGGATTTGATTGTGGACCATATCTGGATCACTTTTGGGAGAAACACGCCGTATTAAAAATTACTGCAGTCGAACGAAAACTTATGTTTCTTACCCGCTTTCAAAAGACACTATTGCGTCCGGTCAACCGCGGATCGAATTAGGAACGCAATCCGTGTAGAAGGTGTGGGAAGTTCAATTAATTGACCGCGCACACCTGCATAGGTCCCATGTTCATTGTAGGATTCTAAGAGGTGAGGCCTGTACTATGTGAAGCCAAGAAGCGCAACTTTTGCCCTGTAGCCGCTAGTCATTGGCCCGCCAGGTTGAACTCGCCAATTCTTATTTGGGGAAGCTTACATCAAAGGTATCAACAAAACTTGAGTAACAGCCAAACAAGAACACAATAGCAGTTGGTAAATTTCCTGCAGGACAATTCACGCTTGATACAGGTGAGAACGCCGTTTCACAGGAATGCCGTATCAACCTTTACCGGAAAACCCTTCTGGGAAAATAACCAACGTGAAGTCACTCCTGGTAGGAAAAAGAAAGGGAACCTCTTCTTCGGGGAGATTAATGCACCATTTCTTGCGGAGAATCAATGGAACACTTTGATTTTTTGGAAATATGGCTCCTCAAAAGCCACACCTTGAATTGGCGAGGGTTGTCCAAAAGGCCCAACGCCAAGCACCAGGAAATTGTTCAAACCCGGAAAAAGCAAACCTGGCCTCTTAAAGTACCCTTAAAACAATTAATTCACCCAGAATGTTGGGGGAAAAAGTGTTTTTGTTGTTTGTTTGTTTGCTTTTTGTAAGTACCCTGAAAACAAGGAATTCACCCGGAATGTTGGGGCAATCTCCATTTCTAAGGGTGTTTGAGGGCTCAAGTACACACAGCAGTGGAGAATCGAGAATCCCCTCCGTGACAAGCCCTATCTGACGGTCCCGGAAGCACATGTTGCCAAGCGAGGGCCAGTACTGGTGCCTCCAAAACTGATGGCGTGGCAGGGTCCATGTTGGGCTTCCGGGGTGCATCTGTATTTCCAAGGTTGTGGAACATATGCCTCTACAACTCTTGGTATAGGGTTGCAACCAACTGACTGTTTGTTGCAGCCCTCCGGTAAAATGAACTAAAAACAAATAGCCACGAACAACTGGCAACAACAAACCAACAGAAAACAAACCAACGACAAAAGCCAGCACAACAAAAAACAAAACAACTAAAATACACAAAACAATACGAAGGGAACCAAAAAAAAAAGAGGATCTATGTGGAAAATGGGACCCATGGCCGGATCTAGACATATGGTTTCCGGCGCCCAGTTTCTTTGAAATGAGAAAGTTTCTGAGATGGCCGGAATGGTAACCCATCTTCTTCTACCGCACATATTCCCGTCTTTGGGGGCACACATTTGCCGTTTCCATAGTGCAACCCAGTGGCACATTGGAGGGGGAAACAAAGGTTTTACCCTCGTTGGCTTGCCAGTGTTAATTGGATGCCTTTTCATGACTGGTTGGTGGAAAGAAAGCCCCTCGTAGTCCCAACAAATGGGTATGTCTCTTATTTGCAGGGGCCCTCCATGGTACCGTTTCTTCGATTTTACGACCACCCCGAAATGAGTGCCCTCCAAAACCATCGACACAAACACCTCTCGCGCCCTTGGGAAAAAAAGGAGGAACAAAACACAAGGAAAAACAACAACGACGGAAAACAAAGAAAACAAAGAAAACCAACCAAAAACAAACAGACGAGAAAGCAAAAACACAAAACGGGTTCGTCCGCCTGTACTGCGGCCGCTGTTCACAGATCTTCTGGAAGAGTTGCCGGTGCCATGCCCCGTCGCGCAGCGAGGAGTCCACGCCTTAAGGCCCGCTGGTTCTCATAAAACAGGGGCCCCATACTGTGGATGGGTGAAATCCATTTCGCATCACTCTGAGACCATGGTTGAAACCATTGCTTGTTGGTATTTACAGGGCGAATCATGAGAAACCGGAGTTTCTTGGTGGTGCGTTTTCTGGATTTCGCCACCCTCCACCGTATTTTTTGCGGATCTCCTGGTGAAAAGGGAGCTCAGGGAAGGGCCCAGGGGACTCTAAGATTCCTCTCGGAAGGGCGACCCATTTCGGGCTGATCCGATCGTTTTGAGCCACATTTTACATGAAAAGGGAACCATGGCCTAAGCTCCCAAAAACAGAAACTCGTATATGAGGTCCTTGATTTTTTTTTGGATGAGGGGGCAGGATACGTCAGGTAAGTGGTCAGTAATGGGTATAGCCTACCAAAGCCATGGTTGGAAGTCGCGGGGTAACCCACCAGAAGCAGCATGCCACCTAGAAGTAACATCTTGGGATTTGGCAAGCCTGATCCCTCAAAACAAAATTGATCAAATGAGGGATGGTTTTCGTTCGGGGTACAGTGTTCTGTCAAGCAAGGACCAGGGGTCCCAACAATTCGAGCAATTACCTGCTGGTTCTCAGAGGGGTTGGGAATGAACCTGATGCAAGGAACCCCTGGATTGCTTCAAGCCCTTCCAACAGGTTTAAACCGTGCTTTCGGGATGCTGGCAAGCTTAAAGTTTGGAAATTGAGGTAAGCAATGTCGACCCCCATGGCCTCCCCAACCTTCGGCGGGAGGGGTTGACCCGTCCCCCAATCAACCAAGTTTATCTAGTATTCTTCATACTGTGCATGAACGAAATCCTGCACCACCAAAGAAAACCTGGAATGATGACTTCCCTCATCAAATACCCCCAAACCATCGTTTCAACCATGGTTTCTCAGGTGGTGCGAAATAGATTTCGCAACCATCCACAGTAGGAACCATGAAAGCATCAATGGAGATCTCCAGGCATCGCCCTCCCCAATTCCATTTTAAACTGAAAATTCCACCCCCAGGCCCCTCGGTTCAACTTGGGGATCTCCTTCCGGTTTGATTGCCAATGAGTCGTCATCAAAACCGATCGATACAATGCTCGGGACCCGGAACCATGCCAACCTGGAGTCTCCGTGATCCTTTGAAAATGGGTCCATGACCCCATTATTTTTCGTAATGACCCTATTCTTTTAGGGGGTCATGGAGACTCCAGGAAGGACTCAAAAGGCGTCGAAGGCAGAGCCACTTGTGGTGAGCATCATCCCTTGACCTTCATCTCCCCGAATGAGTTTTGATTGCGGCTCCAATGAACCTCCCTGAGACCAACCATCAGTGTTTTCCTGCAAAAGATCACGTTCCGGTTCAGTCAGCCACACTTGAAATTCCCCAAAGCAAGGCAGTCGATGCACCCAATATTTACGGTTTTGGGGTTGGTTTCTTCGGGGATTCGTCAACAGACTCCAAAGAAGTCCGCGAAAATATAAGGTAGGGTTTGGGACTCGTTGGGATATAATTGTTATGTACATATATATATATATATATGTATACATATACCAGGAAGATACAAATACATATGTATAATTACATATGTTTGTATACATATTCATCCATGTACATGCCTGGCTACATGTGGCTTATGTCAGACGTCTGGTACCAAAGTTTGGTCCCCGGGCATACGGAGAGGCCCTTTTCCAGTGATGCCCATAGTGCCAGCTCTGAGATCAGGCCCGCCTGCCAAACCCCGAACCGCATCGATCGACGAGATTGATGTGGCATAGAGAGATCGTGGATCCCCAAGCCAGGACCCATGTAGCTGCCCCTAAAAATGGGTTGCCCCCCCCAAAAAAAATATATGGGGTGAACACTTCTAGCTACTAAGAAACGAAGTGACCATGGCTCTGCATAAAACGCATACTATAGTTTTGCTTTTGACTCGGGAAAAAAAACAACATCATGTGAATGAGCATAATTTCCCCCGCATCAGGCGTTTTTGTTGATCTTCGTGTGTCATTTTTATGTGGCACTGAATCGAGTCGCCCGCGCTCGCCTCCTTGAGGCACATCTCATGGCCTGCCAGTGACATACAGTGACTCACCTAAGGGATCCCGATCGACAGGTTGCCCGTAATTAAAGTACCCAGACGCCTTTCCTTTGGGTGTTTATATGGGGTTGGAAGTGCATGGTTACCTATACAGGTAAACGGTTCGCTGGGTCACACAAAGCTAGAACTTCTGCAGGGAGTTAGCCAGACCATCCAAACCAGAAAATTGGGCCTATGTATGCATTTAAATGCGGGTAAGGTACCTTCAAATTCCTCGACCAATTTAAACCACCGTTCCAGCTACAGGGCCAAATTCCCGTGGGCTGTTGGGAGTTTGACTTCTAAGACTTTGAAGCTGTGCAAACCCTTCAAGTTGAGCTTGCCCCTGGAAACCTTTATAATTTTTGGAACCGAAACTCAGCCCGGGCTGCTTTGCTCATGGCGCATCGTTTTTCAGTGCCCGTAAGAAATTGGGAAACGTTTCCAAGGGCCGCTTAAGACGGATTCCCTACCCCCGTACTTGGTCGTCGTCCGAAAGCCAAGGTTTCGCTTTTCCAGCTGGTCCCTTGGTACAATCTGCAATTGAGAATTGCTCATATGGGGTACCATTCTGGGGCACCAAGTGGAATGCAAAGGGAAGCCAAGTGGAAACCAAGAGGGAACGAGAGAAAACCACAGAGAAACAGCGGAGAAACCAACATGACACCAATGCGGCACGGAAGGGGAAGCCAAGGGGACACCCAGATAAACCAAGAGGGAACCAAGGGAAAACCACAGAAGAATCCGTGGGGAAACGCAGGGGACACTGAAGAGGAAGTGGGGGCAGCCAAGGGAAAATCAAGGGAAAACCAAGGAGGAACCAAGTGAAGCCGCGGGGGAAACAGGGGAAGCCAAGAACAAGCCAGACAAGAACCAAGGGACACCAAGGGACAATCAAAGGAGAAACCACGGATGGAAGCCAAGGGCAAGGCAAGGGATACAAGGGGCAGGCAAGGGGAAACCAAGAGAAAAACATGGGGAAACCTAAAAAGGCAAGGGCAAGCCATAAAGGGGAAGCAAAGGGGAAACCACGAGAAACCCGAGGGGAGCCAAGAGGGAAGAACAGGAGAACTGCGGAGAAACAAAGGCGACACCAAGGGGGTGCTAAAGGGAAGCCAAAGCGGGAGCAACGCGAGGACAAGAAAACACAATGCGAAACCAAGCTGCGGGTTGGGCCACGCAACTCGGAACGTCGTGGTTGTTTTTTTCTTCCTCTCCCCCTTTTTGCTGCTGGTTTGCGACACATGTCTCCTGGCCTGTGAGAATCTCGGCCATCGGGCAATTGGTCGGCCAATCTGATTATGGTATCGGCCCATGGTCCTGGCTGGGGTTGGGGTTTCGAAAACTATCAAAGAACTCTAGACCAGTTAGCCGCCAGCGTCCTCGCTGTTCCTGCGGGAAGCGCCGTGCGTTGGTGGTCACTAACTGCTCACGCAATTTCTGTTGCTGCGACAGGAGGCGCGTCACCTGCGAGATCAGCAGAGCCTTCTGGACGGGCGGGCGCGCGGGCGCGTGGGTTGGTGGCTGCAAACAACAAATTGGCAACGTAAGCAAGCGTCTCACTTGACGAGGCGCTGCTGCGACTGCGTGGAACTTTCTCTTCTGCACCACAGACTCTTGTTCTGTCCCTCGGCTGCGCAAGAGCGAAAAAGCAGAAACACAACGCGAGGCTGTCGCTAACCATCGTCCGTGGGCGCAGGGCTAGTTCCGCTCAAAAACCGCATGGGCTTGTAGCAGTCACCTAGAAGAGTTGCTGGGGCTCCAGACGCTTGGATCTTGAAAGGGGCCATTTTTGGTTGAAGGCTCGGGCCTGTCGAAGATGCGCTGGATATCCAACAGCAGGGGGCCGAAGTCTTCCTCTTTCTTCGCCTTCTCCTTTCCATCCTTCTTCTTATCCTTCTTGCTCTCGCGCCCCATGGCTCAGACAACCTTCCATCTCTTGCACGCGCACGCCTTGATAATATGGCACAGGCGGATTTTATAGATCGATTACTAGAGGGTGAAGTCGTAGCTTCTTTGCCGGCCATGGCCGTGCCTTCCGCAAACGCGCGAACTGCAATGAAGACAGTGCACGGCGCTCTTCGCCCGTGGGCCGCTCAAACGCCTCAGCCTTGGCGCAGAACAAGCGGCTTGAAACTGACAGCACCAAGATTCCAAAACTGCTCCCTTCACCTTGCGCCGGATCGGTGGCAATTTATTGGACGCCGAGCGGAGAGATGCCCCTTGCCTCCAGACAAGTTACCAAGGCAACAGCAAGGGAATACCAAGCGGAGACGAAGAACCACCAAGGAAAAACCAAGGTGAAACAGAGGGGAAACCAAGGGGAACCCAAAGGGAAACCAAGGCGAAACCAAGGCGACGCCGAGGGGCAACTGAAGGGAAACCGAGGCGACGCCAAGGGGACACCAAGGGGACGCCAAGGGGAGGACAAGGGAACAACAAGGACACCAAGGGGAAGGGCCAACCACAGGCAAACCAAGGAAAAAACCAAGCAGCAACCAAAGGGAAACCAAGGCGAACCAAGGATACACCAAGGGCCAAGGGAAAGCCAAAGCGAATTCAAGGGAATACCAAGGGGACATCGGAAGGGCCAACCACGGGAAAAAGCAAGGGAAAACCAAGGGACAGCCAAAGAGAAACCACGGCGAAACCAAGGAAACACCAAGGGCACACCAAGGGGAAGCGAAACCAAAAGACAAGGCCAACCACAGGAACCACGGGGCAACCAAAGGGAAACCAAGGCGAAACCAAGGAGACACCAAGGAGACGCCAAGGAGACGCCAACGGGACACCAAGGAAGAAGCCAAGAAAAAGCTAAGGGGAAGCCAAGGGAATACCAACGAAGCCAAAAGAAAGGACCAACCACGGGAAAAGCCAAGGGGAAACCAAGGGGCAACCAAACGGAAACCAAGGCGAAACCAAAGAAACACCAAGAAAACACCAGGGAAGCCAAGGGGTAGGCAAGGGAAAACTAAGAGGGCAAGGAAAACAAACAAAAAGGAAAACACAACAAACATCTCCCACAAAGGTAAGGTGGGGCCCAACCTGACCTCCCAGCTTGGCACATCGAGCTTGGCTTTGCGGTTTGGGAGATTTGGGTGGTTTTTGGATGGTGTCACAAAGGCCCTGCTTGGGTGTTCAAGCTACGTGGAGTCTCCACGACCGAAAACAATGGTCATTGACCCTTTTTTTACAGGATCATGGAGACTCCAGCTATGTAGTAAGCAGGTTGTAACCATGATTAAAAGGGAAGTAACCCACGTTCCCCCACTTATGGTTAAACCCCAATTTGCTAAGTTAGTTGAACATCCAAGTACCGTGGATGGACAAAATGCTGCGCCGATTGATGCGGATAAGGGGGAACAACTACCTGGCGCCGGGCGTGGCATTGGCTGATGGTTTGAGGTTTGATAGGCCACCAATGAGCCAGCCAACTTGGCTTCGTCCCATACAGTTGCGCCCCCCTCATGGGTTGAGACAAAGGACCGGAAATTTCAGACATTCCCGCATGTTGAGATGCCTTTTGCAGGGGACCCCCCAAAAAGCAAAAGAAGAAAGAAACAAGCAACACAATAAAACTAATAATGTTAAAAATAAAAAACAAATTGTGATTGTCGTTTTCAATGTTCTTCAAAACCGCAAAGGACAAACACAACATGGTGGCTGTCCTTTCAATGCTTCCAAACCACACAAAAGATGTGGCTTGCCTGTTCGATGCTCTTCAACAGCACAAGTCTGCAACACTAAAAAACCTGGACCCCGAATGGACTTTTTTTCCGCCTTTGCCCCACAGGAAGAAAAAGGTGCAAAGACAGAGAAAAAAGGAATCGGTCCAGCAAGCAAAGGTCCAATGGTCCAGGAAAACCACACCCCCCGAGTTGACTGAAGCCAACGATCGATCCGAGCGAGCGAGTGAACAGGCCGCGCCGTTGGGGCCATGCCCGAGGTGGTCTTGGTAGCCCTGCCACTCCTCAGTCACATCCTCACTCAAAAATCTGGAGATGAAGGTTCCTGGATGCTTAGTTATCGCCCCCAAAATTTACCTGGACCCTTAAACTAGCCTTAACACGATATCCGTTTAAGGTTGAGGGTCTAGGTAGGATGATGATCAATTTTACTGGGTAGTTTAAGGGTCCAGGCACCAACTTGCCAAGAGTGAAAGTGCACGTTCACCACGGAACTGTGGAAAGCCACTTTCCTTTTGACACGGACACCGCACGCGCCCCCCCATGTGTTGGGCTGTTAATAGACCGAAAAAGGGAATTCACAGGGCGAAACAAAGGAAAAACCTGATGAGACTGAGATGATTGTCTTTCTGGTTGCGACCGGGTTGAAAACTGGACCTCAGTTGCAGGGATCCCTTTGCGGCGCGTGGATACAGCCGAGGTTCGGGGCTGTCTGGGGTTTAGGCTTCGGGGTTTAGGTATAGTGTGTAGCTTTTCGGTTCATCGTTTAGATTGAGGGCGTGGGTTCTGTCTTCTTTTGTTTAGTTTTCCCCGGCTATGTCTTTTGGACGTCACCTACCATTTTCATGTGTCGCCTTGAACCTGCCAAACACGATGTCAAATCCTTTACCTGCATGTGGCTAGCTGCACCCTCAAACTATACCCAATCATTGCAGTTCGCTGATTTTGTAGGTAAGCAACAGAACCACCCGATACAAAAAACAAATGGACAATGGCGAAGGGTTACCTACTACAGGGGTAACTGTTATCCACAGCGCGCACTTCAAATGAGAGATGACCCATTAAAAAGCGGGGCATGGCATCTGCAATCTATGGGCAACTTCAAGGGTTTGGTTGGTCTAAAACAGGCTCCAGCCAAACATCAACCAGCCCGAAACCGTTTTCTGCAAAGCATCCGGAAGCGTCGCAGATTGGAACCTCTGGTCCACTGAACAAGATATCGCTTGCTCGGAGGAAAAAAAAGGTTCGACCACTTGGGGGCTGGGAACAGCCCTCAATCAAAATGTCGCCTTGGAACCGGGATCCCCACTTCAACTGGGCCTCGTTGGTTCTGTCTTCCGGGTGCCAATGGCCTCGAACCGAAAAGCCCATTTCGGCGCTTGGGCCTTTTTTCCCAGGTAGCTCCAGAAGCCTTGGGTTGCGCACGCCTGGGATTTTGATCACACATCAACTCAGGAATCCCCCAGAAACCTTCTGGAGCTCGCTTTACCCGAGCTCGCGGGTTCTTGGGGCCCAAAGAAACCCGACTCGGGATCGCCTTGGGAAAGGGAGTCAAAGTGTTGATCTTGCTTTTGCACGATTTGCATGAGAAACTAAAAGGAACAACACGCCTTTTGGGGATACCTTCGTGGGTTTGTTGGTGAGGTCGTTTTAAACAGAAACAAGTGGAAACCCGGCGACTTTTATTGGTGGTCCGATTCCTATTTTTAGACAAACCCAACTTGGGCAAGGTCCCTGAACACTGAATGTGTGCAAGAAAGCTACCTCCAGGAACCACGCCATGGATTTCGCACCCTTTTTCCGCGGGCCCGTTTTGAAGGCAAATCCATCCTAGAAGAAGAGCTAGGCCCCACTTTGCTCATCTTTGAGGCCACTAGAAAAAAATGAACCCCAAAGGGTTAGGGTTAAGCGTTTCAAGTGTTCAAGTTGTTTTGAGTAGCCCTTACTAAGCTTTACTAGGGCCTACGACAAAAAACTTGAACCCCTCGGCAGTTCTGTGAAGAAGCCGTGGCGATCCTTCGCTGAGGAAGCGCGCAAGTTAAGCCTCGGACCGGCATACCTCTGGCAATGATGTCCGGGTCGATGTAGACCTGACTTCTTTTGAGGGCACCCCTCGTTTGTAGTCTTAAAGGGAACCAAGAGAAAAAAACATAGTTTGGGGGGCGTTAGAAAGAAACACATATTGGCAATTGCCATTCAAAGGCAAGCCCTTTCTCTTGGAAACGTGGGTGGTTAGTTTGGACAGATATGGCGGTTGATCAAAAGGTCAATGACACATGGGATGACCATTGGTTGGAAAACCAGTAAAAAGATTTGATACATCAACCACTAAATGAGAAAAACCACCCTTGGCCAAATTTTGGGGCCCTAAATGAAATATTGATCAGCCTTCATACAGATCCTTCAGAATGGGCCAACCACACTGAGAACAACTCACATAACCCAAGCAGAGAAGACCCGAGGAGTGTTGGCGGATGAAATCGGTGGCAAAAGGCCCGCGTTGGCGAACAAGCCTGCATCCAACCCCCGAACAACTGGTTTTTGAAATCAGTAGCGCTTTGGGTTTTCGCTAAAGAAAAGCATTTGGGTGGTGCTGGATAAATCACTTGCCCAAGGACCAGAAATCCTTTGGGCCCGGATTCATTTTTCCGATTTTTCATATTTTCTCGTTTTTCGTCCGAGCCACCATCGTTTTCAACATCCCCCGCGTGTCCGACCAACATCCCCAGCATCACCAACAAATCGTGGGGGAACAAAATCTAAAAAGTAGCTGGCGGGTTGACGGGTCGAAAAAATGATGATTCAATCCCTGAAAAAAACCTAAACTGGCGGGGGGGGGGGGTTGGGGGGGACGGCTGCCCCCTCATGATGTTCGCAGAAGTGGTGGTTTGAATAGGGGTGCAATTAAATCTCGGCAAGAAGTATAAAAAGTAGCGGGGGGGCTGGGGGAAGGGGGGCAGCCCCCCCATGATGTTCGAAGAAGTGATGATTCAATAGGGGTGCTAAATCTCTGGCGAAAATCTAATAACTAGCGGGGGAGTTGGGGGGGGGGGGTGTACGAGGGAACTTTATGTATAATGTGAACGGGCCATTCGCCTTTTGATAACCAAGTCTTGATTAAGAGAATTTTTAGAATTCTAGATGGTCCCAGCCCAGGAGGGGCCAGCCAGGACCTTTGATTTTTAGATTTTTTAGAATTTTTAGAACTTTTAGAACTTGTTGAATTGAGTTCGAAAAATTCTAAAATTCGGACCCCCAAAATTTAGAATTTTTAGAATTTTTAGAACTCAATTCTAAAAATTCTAAAAATCGGACCCCCGAAATTTAGAATTTTTAGAATTTTTAGAATTCTAGAGGTCCCAGCCCAGGAGGGGCCCAGCCAGGACCCTTGATTTTTAGATTTTTTAGAATTTTTAGAACTTTTAGAATTTTTAGAATTGAGTTCTAAAAAAATCTAAAAATTCTAAAAATCGGACCCCCGAAATTTAGAATTTTTAGAATTTCTAGAGCTCAATTCTAAAAATTCTAAAAATCGGACCCCCGAAATTTAGAATTTTTAGATTCTTTTGAATTCTAGATGGTCCCAGCCCAGGAGGGGCCCAGCCAGGACCTTTGATTTTTAGAATTTTTAGAATTTTTAGAACTTTTAGATTCTTTAGAATTGAGTTCTAAAAATTCGAAAAATTCTAAAATTCGGACCCCCAAAATTTAGAATTTTTAGAATTTTTAGAACTCAATTCTAAAAATTCTAAAAAACGGACCCCCGAAATTTAGAATTTTTAGAATTTTTAGAACTCAATTCTAAAAATTCGAAAAGTTCTAAACATTCGAAAAATTATAAAAATCAAAGGTCCTGGCTGGGCCCCTCCTGGGCTGGGACCATCTAGAATTCTAAAAATTCTAAAAATTCTAAATTTCGGGGGTCCGATTTTTTAGAACTTTTAGAATTTTTAGAATTGAGTTCTAAAAATTCTAAAAATTCTAAATTTCGGGGGTCCGATTTTTAGAATTTTTAGAATTTTTAGAATTGAGTTCTAAAAATTCTAAAAGTTCTAAAAGTTCTATAAATTCTCAAAATTCTAAAAATCAAAGGTCCTGGCTGGGCCCCTCCTGGGCTGGGACCATCTAGAATTCTAAAAATTCCAAATTTCGGGGGTCCGATTTTTAGAATTTTTAGAATTTTTAGAATTGAGTTTTAAAAGTTCTAAAAAATCTAAATTTTGGGGGTCCGAATTTTAGAATTTTTAGAACTCAGTTCAAAAAAATCTAAAAGTTCTCATTCTAAAAGTTCTAAAAATTCAAAAAAAACAAAAACATCTAAAAATCAAGCGTCCTGGCTGGGCCCCTCCTGGGCTGGGACCATCTAGAAATTTAATAATTCTAAAATTCCAATTTTCGGGGGTCCGATTTTTAGAACTTTTAGTTTTTTAGAGTTGAGTTCTGAAAATTCTAAAAATCTAAACTTCGGGGTCCGATTTTGAGAATTTATTGAGTTGAATTCTAAATATTCTCGAAATTCTAAATATGTGGGGTACGAATTTTAGATCTTTGGGATGTTTTTTAGAACTCATTTAAAAAGCTTCTAAAAGGTCCAAAAAATCAAAAAAGGAAAACTAAAAATCAAGGGCCCCCTCCTGGGCTGAGACCATCTAGAATTCTAAAAAATCTAACATAGAGTATTTTTTGAGAGTTCAGTTCTATAGTTTCAACATCAAAAAACATTGAGCATCCTGCACGCCCCTGGGCTAGGACGTGAAAGGCATGTCGCCCCCTTTGTTCGCGAGTAAGCAGAGAGGTTGGAAAGAGTGAGGAAGGGATGGGAAGGTGGAGGACATGCCTCTCACTAGCGTAAAAGGGGTAGGAAGAGAAATGAAAGATGCTTCTCTTTTTAGCTGTTGGATGGGGTGAAGGCAATTCACCCTTTCATGCTACTCCTTTCTCTTTTCCACGCCTTTACCCACAACCGCAAAGTAGCTGTGTGTTGGATAAAGGCTTGGGAGACGAAGGATAGAGAGTGAGGGATAGAGATGAATGCTGGGCCAGCCCTCACAAGGCTTCTCTCTTCGTTCGTCCATCATTATCTCTTCATCCACATCCTTTATCTCTCCTTAAAGACCGGGAGACCACGCCTTTACCCACAACCGCAAGTAGCTGTGTGTTGGATAAAGGCTTGGGAGACGAAGGTTAGAGAGTGAGGGATAGAGATGAATGCTGGGCCAGCCTTAAAGACCGGGAGAGAAGATAGGAAAAGGACAGGCAATGGAGCTTCAGCTTGTCTCATGCCTTCGCCAGCTCTAGAGCCAACATAAGAGAGGGAGAAGGGGTGACATCTCTTTCTCTCACGTAGAGTCCTTGCCATTATTTCAGAATGAAGAAATGGCGTGGGAAGGCGCGTGAGAGGGAGATGACCAGCTCCTCCATCATTATCCTATCTGTTAGAGCTGTGGGGCCAACGGAGAGAGCAAGAGAAAGAGGGTCAACAGGTAAAGATGATTGGGGAAGAGATAGAGAGTGAACGGAAAAGCTGGGACAATAAGGACATTCCAGCTCGTCTAGCTTTCATCTACTTCCCTTCTCTTGACCTCCCTCGTTTCTGGGCAAGAGGTTGGGAAAGAGAAGCTGAATAGAGGTGAAGAAAGAGGAATTCATTTGTAACTGCTGGCCAGCGGATGGGATTTCCTCTGGCCACCTCTCACCTAATCACTTTACCTCTCTCGTCATCAATTTCCTTTCTCCTTTCCATTCTCACCGTTGCAACGGCTAGGAAAGAAGAAGGGGTGAAGAGATAGGAGAGAGAACTAGAATGAAGAACCCAGATGACATGAAAGACGTTCTGGATTCTGTGACATGGTTAAGGGGAAGGAGATGTTGGTGATAGAGAAGGAGAAGGAGTTGCATTCCTTTCTCTTGCGTACAATCCCCGCCACTCCAGAATTAAGAGATGGCAAGGGAAGGCGTGTGAGAGGGAGATGACCAGCTCCTCCATCATTATCCTACCTGTTAGAGCTGGAGCTGGGCAATGTCTCTTTCCACTACTTGTTGTGAACTCTAGGGGTCGCATGCCAGGTAAACGACCGGAGAGAGCGAGAGAGAGAGAGAGAGAGAGAGAGAGAGAGATGGAGGGCGGTCATATGATGGCTAATGAAAGAGAAGGCGCCATCATCACTCTCACTTTTTACCTCTCATTACCTACCTCCCATCATCTCTAGCTTCTAAATCTTGGATGTGGATGAGGGAGGAGATAGGATGAGAGGGAAAACGTGAAAAGGTGAGCCCACCCACTCTCTCCTTCACCCACCTTTTTAATCTCCTTTTCTCTCGCTTGCAGGTGATGATGAGTGAAGAAGCGAGCGAAGAGTCAGGGCAAGAAAGGAAGAGACAGGGAAAGAGATGTTACCATAATAAAAATGTTTCCATATTCTAAGAGTACAAATCAGAGACGCTTTATCATTTGAGATGCTTTCCATCTCTTGCATTCGCTTTCTCCATTCTATTTCCCTCTCATGTCACTCCCAAATCTATTAAAAGAGAACGGGAATGACAGGTAAAGATGATTGGAATTGGACAATAAGGACATTCCAGCTTGTCTAGCTTTCATTCACTTCCCTTCTCTTGACCTCCCTCGTTTCCAAAAGAAACTTATAACTGGGCAAGAGGTTGGGAAAGAGAAGCTGAAAAGAGGTGAAGAAGGAGGAGTTCATTTGTAACTGCTGGAAAGAATTTCTTTTCTCCTTTCCATTCTCACCGTTGAAACGGCTAGGAAAGAGATAGGAAAGAGAATTAGAATGAAGAACCCAGATGACTAAGGAAACAAGATGGTTGGATGGCCATCCATCTCCTTGCCCACTCTCTCATCTCTTTCCCCGCCCCCGCCTCCATCTCAGCTTCAAGGAAGCTGTAGGTGGTGAGGAATAGAAATGAAGGGGAGAAAGGGTGGTGGTAAGGTGGTAAGATAGAGGCTTGAATCATGAGGCCAGACAGCCATCCTCCCCTCTCGCCATTTTTTCTTGGCATATCCTCACTTTCCAAGAATATCTTTTCCCATTCTCATCCATCTCCCAGCCAATGCAAATGAGGTGAGGGGATGGGGCCGTGAGATGGCCAATCAATGAGTTTTTTCCTCTCTCTCGCCCTTCTCTCCCTCTCTACCTCCCATCACCCAACCTCTGCTTCCGAGAAAAAGAGTTGGGGTGATAAAGGGAAACAAGAAGGGGGGAGAAATAAGCAATGGAGATTCCTTAGCCCACCCTTCCTTGAGATCTTATTGGTAGGCATTTCCTGTCTACAGACTCTCTAGACCCAATTATGAATTGATTATTGTAATCTACAGTACCAAGTCTTGGTCATTTCTGTATCACCTATTAATCACTTGTCTCTACTTTGCTCCATTGATAAGACTTCTGCAGTCCATGACATCAATAATCGCAAGGCAAGAGAAACACCAAGAGCTGAGAAAGATAATTAAATATGAGATACGCTAAAATAGATTATAAAAAATGTTGAATTGGAATTAGTTTCTGGATTGACCTGACCGTGCAAATCTGCGACGCTGCTATCCCTTTTTTCGCGCAGATCAAGTGGCAAGTGCTGAAAAAGGAGCCGGTTCACATTATACGCATTGTTCCCTGCCACGGGGGGGGGGTTGGCAGCCCCCACATGATATGCGATGAAGTGATGATTCAATCAAAGGTGCAATGATTCAAGAAAGGGTGGGATGGAATGTACAAAGCAGCGAGAGGGTTGGCGGGGGTGGCTCCCCCTATGATGTTCGAAGAAGCGCATACATACAGACATACATAGACTACATAGATTACATAAAACGTCGTATTTTCCGCATTTTCTCGCGAAATTGAATGCTCGAAAAAGTTATGTTTCGGGGTGCAATTAAAATCTCTGCCAGAAATCTAAAAAGGGGTTGGGGGGGGGGGGCCACCCCCATGATGTTTGAAGAAGTCGTGATTCAAACTTGGGTGCAATGAAGTTTCGGCAATATCGATCTTTCATGCGTCTATGTGCCCTGAACAGTGACTAATCCGTCAAAATACCTCAGGCGTCAACGTGAACATGAGGACATGCCCATTGATACGCGCGTCATGCAGCGCAAAGAAGCCTCAAACATGACAAACGGTCAGCGAACGGCATCATTGCATTGCCCGGTCACAATGCAAGCGCCAACCAAGCAACTAAGAAAATAAACAAACCAAATCCTTGTCCTTGTGATTCCGATTCAAGGCTCGAACGCGTCGAGGGATCAACGGGGTCTTCACTTTCCTCACGCAGTTCAATATCTTGCCTGAAAGCCCCCCCAGAAACGAGTGAAAGTGACGCACTCCAAACGCCCTCAACTTGACTTCACAAAGCTCATCCTTCTCCTTTGGCACTACATTTGCTTCCTGACATAGACAGCATAAGCTGAGCTTCACCTGCTGTTGCATTCATGCTTGGCATAGAAGCGGGCAGGAGGCCACGCGGCCGATTCTGAATGAAAGCAGGCCTTGAACATCTTCTGTTCAGCTTCCATGTGCTGAGTCTGTGGCCTGGCCCACACGGAGCAACGATGATAGCGCCGCAGATCTTGCTTGCAGCAAAGAGCACGCAGCTGTTAGACACCTTGAGATAGTTCACCGAACTCTCCTTTCAACTTGAGACCATGTGCAAGAAAGGGTAAAAGCCGCAAAAGCCGCAGCCAGGCAGTCGAACAAGGCATGTTTCAAATGTTCCAAGGAAGGCACCGTCTCCACTGCCTCCTGCAAGTCCTCAGGCGAGCTCCGGCCGGAGTCGCCACCAAGACGTGACCATACCAGCCTAAGCTTGGCAACTTCAACTCGGCACCTCTTGCTTCGTCCTAGCAAGCGCGCATTTACACATTCTGCACACATCCACCCGCATACCACAATCTGCAAGCAAGAAATAAGAAAGAAGCAAGCCGAGCAGCCTGCAAGCTTCAAGAGCATCGGGAGACGGCATAGCGGCTTGATTGATGAAGATTGGTGCTTCCTTCTGCAACCTGGAAATGCATAAGCAAAAGGTCAACCCTACTGTGCGGCTGGCAGCACATGCATCCGGCCTTTCTTCAGTCTGCAAGGCCTCTTCTTCTGCCTAGATTGCATAGATTGCATTAAAACACGTTTCTTACAGCATTTTCTCGCGAAATTGAATGCTCGACAAAGTGATGTTTCAAATAGGGATGCGATTAAATCCCTGCAAGACATCTACAAAGTAGCAGGGGGGCTGGAGCCGCCCCCCGCATGATGTTTCAAGAAGTGATTCAAATTAGGGTGCCATTAAATTTCGGCAATCAATCTAAAAAGTAGCGGGGGGATTGGGGGGGAAGCCCCCCCATGATGTGCGAAGAAGTGATGATTCAAATAGGGAGGAACTGGTGATGCTGAGGATGCGGGAAGCCAAAGCCAAAAACCAATGAAAGGGTGCAAAAACCAAACAGCCCGGAGAGGAAGTGAGAAAGCAGAGGATGCAAAAAGCCAAAGCCACCAAAAGCCACATAAACCAGCGAAAAGCCGCAGAAGCCAAAACGCAACTTAGGGAGAGATGCAGAGGATGCGAAAAGCCAAAGCCAAAAAGCCACCAAAAGCCGCATAAACCAACAAGAAGCCGAAAAGCCAAGAAGCCGAGAAGCCAAAAAGCCGAAAAGCCAAGAAGCCAAAAAGCCGAAAAGCCGAAAAGCCAAGAAGCCGAGAAGCCAAAAAGCCGAAAAGCCAAAAAGCCGAGAAGCCAAGAAGCCGAGAAGCCGAGAAGCCGAAAAGCCAAGGAAGAAACAAAAAAACGGGAGAAAAAAAAACTAAAAACATACCCCTCCTTATCCTTTTGGGACCTTGTCTAAAACTGAGTCCAAACTGGAAAACCAAGAGGTCAAAGATCGGCTTTGGGCAACTGAGCATAAGGCAAACTTGGTTGGTTTGACCCTTCGGGTGACGCTAACTAACATCAGAAACGCCAGGCACTTGAAGGTCCGTGGGGTGCATTGGAATTGAGCGACATCGCTTCTCAACACACACACACACACACACCTGGTATCTCATTGTGAGTCTGGTCGCGGAAAATAACTCTCGCTGAAAAAACACATGCCATCCCTCAACAGACCAGGGATACTGAGTGATCAGCACATCCCGTCGCAAAACCGATCGATTCATTCTTTCCCCTCTGATCGCGACCCGTCTGACCGCGGATCGCAGTCGCTTTTGGGTCTCGGACCGCTACTCTCTGCTGCTCAGAGGGGCGATCGGGTACGTAGTAAGTGATTAGCAAGCTTGGTGATAACCCACTGAGCGGAGACTTATAACCCTGGCTTTGGCGGGGTATAACATGGTTCTTACCCACTTAGCTGACGTACCGAAGCGATCGCCCCTTTGAGTAGTGGCCATGGGCAAAACCAGGGGTCACTAAATGTCCTAAGGATGCCTAATCTTTTTTTGGTGTTGGCGGGGGCCAACTAAACTCAGTGGCTATGAAGTGGCGCCCGGTGTTGCTGGCTGAATTTACGGGGAAATCGTGCTGCATCCTTCGGGCTGGGTAGATGTTCACAAGATCTCAAGCCCAAAGATCTCCACTTGGTGGCTTAGAATAAGGTACCCCTCCATCCCAGTGGATCCCAGTTGCCCATGTAGTTGGTAACCCTTCGCTATGTTCCTCTTAGTTGTTGTTCTTCTTTTTATCGGGTGCTTGGTCACCTACAAAACCAGGTAAATGGATTCACTGGACATCCTATGGAAGCTGACTGGCCTTGGGAACCATCTTCCAGAAACTTCATGCTACTCAGAGGCTCCAATTCGATTGTTTAAGGTTGTCTTCAAACAACCAAGTTTTGAGACCCCGAACTACCTCCGGGGTGGCTAACGTAGGGGCCGTGTCTTCCATTGAAAGGTCCAGGAGCCTCTGGGTAGGGAGAAAACCAACCCTCCAACAGCACCTGACAGGCAGTTGTTCCAGGGACACCGCCCCCTAACCACCAAACCACCGGTCTCCAAACATCCAACTAGAGCCCCCCCCCCCCCACAATATATATATATATATATATATATGTATATATATATATATATGGTTTTCCTATTGGCTTCCCCGTTACACCCAGCGGACAAAAAGGGCACCCTTCAAAAAGACACACCCAAATAGACCTTACTGAGAAAGAACGAGGGATGGTAAACTGCTCTCTTCAGCAAACCCGGATCAACAAACGTATTGGTCAGGCGTCCCGGCGCTGGAGATCAGAGAAGGCATCAGCCCCTGGCAAGCCAGATGTTCATCCTACTTTGTAGGCCATAACCATGGCTGCAAGTGGGACAGCAGGGGCTGGTTGGGTTACAAACTACGTTCTCCAAGTAGATGGGTCAAATATATGGTATATAGCCTGCCACCCAAACTCTAAAAGGAACTTCCTGATCGACTCTATGCATGTTAGTTAGAAAGACGGTACTCGTTGTGTCTCTTGGCAAGCAAGCAAACCAGCTCTGAAATCAACAATGTATCTTGTGTCTTGGAGGCCATCCTTCTGACTGGACGCAGGACTCGCTGTAATAAGGCACCTGAAAACAAACAAGAACACACTCATGTTGATGGCTGAACGTCCAAGTAGGCTCAGGGCTGTTTGCTTGGGGGCTTCTTCCAGAAAGGTATAACACCCAACTTCTCGGAAGTCAAAGGCTGTGGTGCAGGAGTGTGTATGTTTCAGCATTGCAGGCTTGATCTGGAACTCGGCATGAACCAAAAAGGTTGGTTGATTGCCCGCAAAAAGACAAAACTGTAAACTAACACACAAATTACCGGACCTACCAAAACTTCAAAACCAAATCCTTGTCGGCTTCTTCCCGCAACAAAACAATCTCAGAAAGTGTCCTGACCGACGCTGCCAGGTCAACGACAACTTGAGTACGAGCTGAAAGACTCTACTACCCAAAGGCGGTTCACAGATCAAACAGGCCTGGCAGTCTTCAAAAGGTGCTGTTTGACAAAACTGGAACACTAGTTGGATGACTTCAAAGGGAACACACAATTCAACCTGCCACAAAAACCTGCCTTTGCAAAAAAAGCACCACCATCCAATGAAATGACATGTCTCTTGCTCGCAACTGCACATGCCTACCTCAGCGTTTGCCTGGCTCTCACAAACAAAAAAAACAAATTCCTCTGGTGACTAGGCTGGAATTAGGGACCCAGCAAAAAAGTGTAGTGACATGTCTCTTGCGCGCAACTGCACATGCCCACCTCAACTTTTGCCCTCCCACCAACAAAAAACAATTTCCTCTGGTGAAGTAGCGCCCCATGCCCCAACGGAGTCTACCGAACACCATGGGTCGTCTTGCCACCTGAAGCCTCAAACTACCCTTGCGCCCAAAGGCTTCCTTGGTGCCTCATTCTTTCGATCTGCGAATTCTGAGGCAGTCCCTGGCCCCAAAACCAAAAAACGGCCCTCCGAAAAGGGAAAGCGCCCTATTGTTTTCAGGCTGCAACACATTTTTGCTTGGGGGGTAGTTTGTGCGTCCCATGGTTGGGACAGTCCGCTCTTCAGTTCCCCAATTCGAAATACCAGAACTCTCAGAATCGATTCGTCCCAGCGCATCCCAGTTACCACCATAGGCACCAGCGAGTCTTTTTTGGCTTAGGGCTGGTTTCCGCAAGGGTCACCTACTGTATCTCAGCAGGTGGGACACTGTCTCAGCCCTTGCCGCAACCTAAAAAAATTGGATTGATTCCTGGTTTAGAACACCTAACAAGCTTTTAGTGGACACACGTGTCTAAAGAGACGCCAGAACATGAAAAACCCTGAGAATCTTGGGACCTTTTTGCAGTCCATGACCTTCCATTGAAGGTCCGGTTCGACCCCTTGAACGGAGGGTCCACTGACCCTGGAGTTCAAACCACCATTACAACAAAGGTGGTTGATATAACCACACTTACTTTCCTCACCAAGGAGTCCTCCAAATTGGGTCCCAAGGCGGGCAAGGAACTCTAGGGATGATGCTTCCGGGGCTATGGGTTCAAAAAGCAGCTCCTAGCCGCTTAGCTGAGTCCCGTCCTGGTCTGCCAGCCATCCCACCGTATAGGACTTGCCCACGCCTGACGGAGAAAGAAGGGCCGCAGAAATCTTTTGTTTTTGTTTTTTAAACAGAGCGGCAACTAAAGCAAGGCAGCAACGAAGGGGGGGGGGGGGTAGAACCAAATGACAGGTTCAGGTTTGACGAAGTTGGGCGAGCATCTCACGACACGCTCAAGTTGGGGGAGCATCTCATAGCATGCGGACCAATTTCCCTCCCTCCAATCAGGATGGAAGGCAGGAACCACAACCTGGAGAGGATTTCGAAACGGCAAAATGGGTTTGGAAGGCTTTGCTTTTCGGGGAAGTTTCTTGCCCACTTCCATTGGCCAGAAGGTAGCGAGTCTGAAGCGCGCCAGATCGAGGATAGCAAAAGAACATATTAGGACCCGAACGAGAAAAAAATGACGCAGACGATGCCGCAACCTATTCAAAAGGCCAAACAGTCGGTTTTAGGCGCTGCTCAGTTATAAATTGTCAGTATCAATTCAAGGGAAAGCGCCGCCTCGACACTGCAAAAAACTTTTGAGGTCGGTGTAAAGGGCGTGCCATGAAAGATACATGGAAGAACCGCAAGAGCAATTCTTACGTTGCCCCGCAAACGGTTTGGGTTGGGACGGTAGCATTTCGTAGCATTTGGGGAACTGTTGGGTTCAAACAAAGTTCGGGGGCGCAATGGCTTGTCGCCTTGACAGCTAGGCGGCTAGACTGTGGAAAACAAGGCTCTGATACCAAATGGGACCATCCTTTCAACCTTCTCACAAAAGTATTCCCTTTGTACAGAAAAAAATAAGCCGCACGCCCCTTTCATCTGCGGCCTCCATTTGATCAAGTCTTCTGGAACAACGATTCGTGATAGACTCCCTTTGAAACCAACGGGGGAAAAAACAAAAACACTTGGGCAAATGGAAGGTAAATTGGAATTGGTGGTTTTCCTGCTGGTGCCCGGTTAAAACCACTAAAGACACCCATCTGTGTCTTGGGGCTTGGGTGCTCCAATCCAACGCCAACGACGCGCGAGTCGCGATAGAGAGCCTATGGCACCGGCGCTGAAGACGGCCTATCCGAGTTGAGAGTGTGATACACCTTTCCAACACCTTCCCTGTTGGCATTTGCAAGGGAGGCATCATTCCAGGGATTTCGTCCAGCCAACATACTCATGGGCAAATCCATTCCCATGGGAAAACAACATATCTCTAGTGGTGATAGAACCCCTTCCGAGAAAAACCCCAAACAACCCTTTTGCTTAAGTCCCCTGGCAAGAAAATATGTCTAGAGTCGATTAGTCAGTGAAAGAATCCCTTTAAAACCAACCAGGGGAAACATATTTGTTAAGCACATGGAGGCAAAGGGTCCCAAAGGGTCCGCCCTAATGTTCACCCAGGATTAATAAACCCCTGTTTATTAATATGGGGGTGTCCCTGGTTTTAGTGGGGATTGAAATTTATCACTTTTGGAGGGGAACACCCCTATATTCATGAGCAGGGGTTTATTAATCCGGGGTCAGCCTTAAGGATCCTGGGGCTTGGTACAAAGAAGCCTCAGCTTCCGCTGGCCCCAGAGGTCGCCAATCTCTCATCGCCTTAAGCTCTGCACGTCGATTCAGCCTTCGACACGGGACGGGCTCAGAGATCTCCAATGAGCGCGTTCTCTGACTGCTTCTTCAGCCAGGATGGAGCTTCTTGCTTCCACTCAAGTCAGCGAGCTGAAGCTACGCAGTCTTCCTGATGCTCAACTGGTGCAGCCACATCCTCATGAAAGGCAGCTGCAAGGCTGTCCCTCTGCCACAGGCTCAAGGGGAAGTGCCGGGCCTGGTTCCTCACCTTTGCTTTGGTCGGGTTAGTGGTTGGGTCTTAATGTAACCTACAAGTTAAGCTCGGAGGGGATCAGCTTCAGCCCAGGATATCGTTTTTGAGGGCCCATTGAACATGGTTGCTTGACGGTGACAGCACGTGGACAAACAACTCAGGCCCGCGGGTCTTAGCACACCCCAAGTAAATTTAGGGCTGTGAAAAGGACGTACTGCGGATGGACGAAATCCTGCACCACCTAAGAAACCCTGGAATGTTGATTCCCCTGGAAATACCAACAAACAATGGTGCCTCATGGTTGCTTAGGTGGTGCAGGATTTCGTCCATCCACAGAATTTTGAAGCCCCACATCCATCACCCTTAGAGGCGCCTGGGCTGTTCGCCTTCGATCCCCTGCGAAACGTTGACGCAACTTTTAGTGGGTCAAAGATGGACACCACCACTAAGAGCTAAAAGCCGAACGAACCGGATAGCTGAGAACCACGGAGGTGCCTCCTACTTGGACGGGGTCTGCTTAGATCCGGGGTCAATACTCGGCCTCAGAACTACCCAAATTTGGTCCCCTGGCACCACCTCAAGGCTTTATATAATTCACGAATTCCCTTTTTCACCAAGCCAAAAACCAAACATACTCTCGGTTGCTTTCTGCTCCCCTGCTGAAAGTATAACTTTTACTTGCTCCCCTGCTGAAAGTATAACTTTTAGTTGCTCCTTTGCTGAAAGTATAACTTTAATTGGTTTAATGGAAAGGAAAACCCATCAGTTGGCAAAAAGTTTTCAAGTCCTAACATCCCTTGGCAAAATGCAACAAAGTTGGGAATGAGGCAATGACCCCAAGAAAAACCATCCCCAATGGTTTCCTCCAAAGAAATCCCGAAGTGCATTCCCGAAACCCTGATTCATTCCCTGGGAACACGTTGCACCCATCACCATACAGGACCCTCTTCATCCCCTCCTCCACATGGCTGTGGGTCAAAAATAGGTATCCAAAATGGAACCATTGTAAATGGAAACATGGACTAAAACCTGCGGTCCATATCCTGGTGGTTTAGTTTTGACCCATACCCATATAGGGAGCAGGGACTGCACGCGCCGCGCAACTCCAACTCTGTACTTTTACTTCTTCCTCTTGAGTACCATCCAAGACTCGACTGCTTCCAGTTTCCGTGCTACCACTAAACCCTAAAAACCTAAGGGGATGGATGGGAACCACCAAGAAAAGGGATCACCATTTGTTTGAAAAACACAAGGGCAAGTGCGGGGGTCTCAAAATGGTAAAGTCCTCTTGTGTGGCTCTCCTTTGGTCTTGCCTGGTTGACGGGAGGGCCAAGCAGTTCACCCAAATTGCAGCAGTTCAATGAACGAAGAACCCCGATTTTTGCCTTTTGACGGAGTCAATTCTTCGAGGATTCTCAAGGGTGGTCCAAGAGGAGCCTCTGCATTTTGCGAACATGCTGCGAGTTCCTTTGTAGTTTTTGTTCCACTCAATTTGCAAATTTCAGCGTTAAAGTGTCATGAGAAAAGCTGCCTATGCTTTTTTCAAGCCCCGCAGGTCGAAAACAACAAACACGTCAGACTGTTTCGGAGTCATTTACTCCGCGTTTCCCAAACAGCTACAAAAGGAAGACCTGAGCTGCGGAACTGCATGGAGTTTGAAACGCAACTCATCTAGCAAAGCGGGTCATGTGGAAGAACACATCTGGTTCGCTCCAACAAGGACACGAACCAAATCACAATTTCCCATATCTTTACTCCAGTTTCTGCGGCAACTTAATGCCACTTTTTTGTTGGCTTATTCACCCCTTCTCTGAAACTCACCACCTCTTCATTGCGCCGCCTGCCAAATTATATGGAGTTCAAAACGACATCTCGAGACGCTTCAAGTAATCGTGTTGCAGGCTGCATTGTCTATAACCGACATGATCATGTTTGCTGCTCACGTTTCAGGCCAAATGAGGCACAATCAAAGTTACCTGTTTCTCCAAGTGGACTGGGAAGTTTAGTGAGTCTATCAAGTGAACGCCCCATGTGCCTCGCAAATGCACCATAGACTGGAAAGTTTGCGGATTTCAACTATCAACAGTTTAAGTAGTTGACGAATTTATTTTTGTACAAGGTGGTTGTGAAGTTCTATCCACTTGGGCAGTGCCATTCAGACTGGGCCACGCAAGCAGTGAATTCCTTACCCAAAGCCAGAAATCTGGAGCACACGGACCCCAACCCAGGAACCTCACACGGCCCCAACTCAGTTTGGCCCCTGACCGAAGGCCCAAACCGTGTGCCCCATGGCGTGCTTGTGGTTCGTGAAAACCCTCAGCGGCAAGTGGCTCGCCTACCCCCGCAAGCTCCAATTGCCCGGCCATGTGCTCGTTGGTATAAACCGCTGGGTTTTGCCGGGTAAATACTGGATCCCTTTTTGAAGTAAAGGGTCAACAGCATATCATAAACGGGTACCTGGAGTCTCCATGACCCTTTTAAAATGGGTCAATGACCCCATTGTTTTAGGTAATGACCCCATTTTTTAAGGGTCATGGAGACTCTAGGTATGGGTGTATGGGGTACTTGGTGTCTGTTGCCGAAACCTCCAAACCTCCGATTTCTTCGGTTGCGATCCGTTCTTTTGCGGACAAAAATACTCGCTCATGTGCTTGTCCGCGTCTTTGTATGGCTGTGAACAACACCAGGCCTCCCAACTCAGCAGTAACACAGTACAGGACTGAGGCAGCCAGTTGACTGAAGATGACGGCACCGCTCACGTGCAGGGCCCCCCATCAACTTGCACCCATTTGCATCCCAGGCGCGCAGGGGCTCGAGGTCCTCAGTCGATTCAAATCGGAACCAGTGCCCTGCCCCGGATGGTTGGCTGGGCGATTTTTGGCGACTTTGGCGTTCAACGAAGACCACAATCACCAGCAACCCCAAGCACTCTCCGCACAGCAGCCGTTGGGACCCGGTTGCTGGCACGATTGGTTCCGGCTTTGACAAGGAAACGATCTAGAAACGATCTATCTTAGACTCGTGGGGTCATGAATCCGAAGATAACGTGATATAACGTGTTATAACCACGCTGGCAAACGGGCGCGGACTACTTGAGTTCTGTGAAAAAGGGGTCACCCTCTTGGCCTCGCATTTCTGCAACCAACTGAGGATTCTTCAAAATGGGGATACCTTATTCTTGGAACCTTTCGTGAGCCTCATAAACGGGACACATCAGCGCACACCTTTGCCCTTCAAACAGGTACCAAGGTAGGCGAAGTCTGGCAATGATTAGAGTTGGGCCCAGTTATAGAATGTATATTTTATTGTTTGCTTCACTCAGATTGGTATGGTCTAGCATTCCCAAGCTTCAGAGTTGCTCTTTCCGCGGATGCCATCCGAGATCTGGAAGTTCCATGGAGTGGGGACTCTGGACACCACCGCGCAGGGAAAGAGAAGCAACCGTGCAACGTCCAGGGCAAAGGTGCGGACTGCGGGCTCCTTGGGACCGACGTGGCTCCGTCGAGATCGCCAGCTGGTTGACCATGCTGATTTGTCGCTCGCGCTCTCGTCCATTCCGGGCCATTCTGCTCCAAGGGGTTCTCCAACGACTCTGTGAGGCTGGAAAAGGCCGGGCAAGCGGAAGCGCGACCCTTGGTTTTGATGAACCTCTTAATGCAACCCTTCCCGAAGGGTCCCAAATGGTACCTCATGCGGATTTGAGGAATCTGTAATTGACGAATTCCCGCGAACCAAGCCCAACCAGCACCATGGGGCACCAAGGCACGTATTGGGATTGTTAGGTCATTTAAGGAAAGCACATGGAGTCCACTGTTCTCGCATTCAGGGCCATAGCTAGGAGACGCAGCCTAACAGTGACCATTAGACGCATTAGTCTAGGGGCTGATTCCCCATTCTTTTCAGCCATCGTTCTTTTCAAAAACCAGCCATTTCCCCTGGGTTTTTTGGTGGTTTTCTAGAAAGAAGGATTCCTGGAAAGAATGGGGAAGTTACCCCTTCAGGACACCTATGGGTCATGACCTTCCGATGGCTCTGAATTCTATTGCAACTGTTGACATTGTCTGCGAACCTTACTCGAAACCAGCAGCAAACTCTGGAATCAACTTGCTTTTGGTGGGAATTTGGCAAACCTTCTGAAATATAATTGCCCAAATAATTAAAATGGGTGCGTGGGGTACGTTAAAACCAGGTGTGGCTTCCTCTATGCTACAGGAAACCCCTGGTTACGTAACTGGAAGCACGGGGAAATGGAAGAAATCGTCTTGGGAGCACTGGGAAGCACTGTCAGGAAGCACTGGGAAAGACGACGTTTCTGGCCGGCCGCAAAAAAACAGTTACCCAAGCCACCGCATCAACCGCCAACTGCGAGTCTCCGGGGCCCCTGGCGCGCTCTGGGGCGTCCCTCTCGCTTCTCTCGCTTCGGCCTGGCGATGGAGCAAATCCATCGGGCCCAGGATGGACCCATCTGTCCCTTTGGGAGGACGGCTTTAAGGGAAAGCCGAAAGGAACGGCCAAGAAACACAACAAAGCAACCAGCCCTTGGCGCAAGCCTAAGTGAAGTTGACCGTCATCAAAGTAGTCGTCCCAGAGTTCTCCTGGAGGACTCTACAAATGATTTGGAGCACGCGTAGGGGCAGTCAATCATGACCAAAGTGTTGGGTCCAAACATGAAGACATGCACCAAGAGGTGGTCCAAAGTTTGAACAGCAAGTTGGACCTCTTGCACAAGCCAGTTTTGAAAGGGCATCGTGAAACCAACCAGTTCTGACGGGAAAAGGATGTAAACTCACCCCCTTGGAATTGCATGGGCATGGTGCAACACAAGAATTGCATGGGGTTCAACCCCCCAGTAAAGGAAGGGTTGACCCAATTTAGATGATGAAACTTAGGTAAGCCATGGTGGTTCCAAAAGCCCTTCCTTCCACTCGAATCGGATGAGCAGCGCCCACCTCCTCAATCATGGCTGCAACCATGGCATCCTGGCGAGCGAAACCACGCCAACCTGGGAATCATGTGAGGGGCCAGTGCGTACCTGGAATGGACCCGCTATTCTGCATTTGTACCCCTTGTTTTTGCGGGTCAAAGGCAGAAACAAGGGGTCATCTGGTCCACGCATGCATTCATGTCCACTTACCCAAGGGGGGAATTGCAAACTTGCCTCCTATTTTCGTGGTCCAAGTCAAAGCCTTTTGGATGTGAACACCTCATGGAACTCAAGGTGTGAGGAACTCACGGAGGTCCATGTGACTGTTGTGTGCATAAACTGGGAGGGAAACATGGGCACTTCACGCGTTGAGGAATGACCTACTAAGGCGTATGGTTCACGACTTCCTCTTTGACCCGCTGCTTGAAACACAATTAGATGTAGCTAAGTGGTTCGTGACCCTGGTTGCAATCCACCAAAGCCATGGATGTAAGTCTTCCAGGGTTGCGAACCATTAAGCGATTCGTCCCAAACCATCGGAGAAATGAGACACCTAGAGGGCTTTCTGTCTTGTGGTCAGGGAGGAACATGCCCTAAGGTGACCTTGCGCCATCGGTCTGGATCGATCAACCCGAAGTGCCCGGGAAATGGTCGTTAAACTCTGCGAATGAATCTTCAGTCACAAGGACCCAGAAACTAGAGGTGACCACCTTTGGGGTCCCGACTCATGGCTGAAAATAGCTGCACAGGGCAAAAGCAAAGTGGGTCAACACGTCGATCCTCTGGAAATCAGCGAGACTCAGCGTTCGCCTTCCCCTCTGGTTCCCGTTTTTCCTTTGGGAGGGGCGGGAGGGTTCCGTTGACTAGCGCCGTACACATGAACTCCAAGGTCGTTCCGAGAGCGTGCCAAGTGTTGCAGGCACCTTCAGACCGGGGCCTCCAGCAGGCCCAGTCAACAGATTTGCTTGGGGTGTGTCTTACAGGAATCGGACCCCCCAAAATGGTTCTTGCGATCGGACCCCGTGCGAAAGATGCCGGGAATGAGAAAAATGGTTTCTGACCCCAAGCAGAGCCAGCCCCAACTGGCGATTCATTCCAACTCATTCCCCTCTTTCGCACCAGCAAGATGAATGTTCCATTTGGTTTCAAACTAGCCGCCAAAATGGTACCCTCAAAAGGCGTGCCGAAGATCTGGCTTGCTCCAATTCCATCCGCTCCTGTCGACCCCATATGAATCAACCAACCAGTTCGTTAATTTTGGGGGGTCGTTTTGGCACCTCCAAAAGTGGTCTGATTCCCCACATTTCACCCAGGGACAGGCCGAGGGGGGATGGGTAGTTCAGAGCCGTTTCGGGTTCCTTGGGTTTTTTTAGGGTTCCTTGGCTTCCTTAGGGAAACCGCCCTCCCTTGGACCGCCCTTCCAGGGATTCCACAAAGAACTTGCCTGGGAAATCAAAACCAACAATTGTCACACCTGCCAGCTCAAGAGCAAGCGCGCTTTACCCCCTTTGACCCGAGCCTCTGCAAAAGTTGCCCTCTCAGCATTTCCCTACACCGATTGCCAGTGCTTTTAGGCACCACTAAAACCTAGGCTTCAATCTTCAACTCTCCATTAAAAAGAATGGCAAGGACCAAAATTCATGAAACTCTTTAGGTAAACAATTGTGCTGATATTCGTTATCTTGTTTATAAATTCCAAGGAAGTTGTGTTTCCAAAGAGTCTCACTTCCTGAGTGGATGGCGCCAAAAAGTCCCCAACCTTTTCGGTTGCAACACAAATGGTCTTTCCAACAAGTTTAAAGTCTAAGAACTCAAGGAATCAGAAGTTTGCAGAGTCCAGAGGAAAAAAAAAAACATCAAGGAGTGAGACTCGGAGATGCCTGCATGTCGCAGCGACTCTCGGTGTAGATGCCATGGTAGTCCCAATCCTCGCCGCTGTTCAAATGCGAGCGAGAAAGCGCCACCCGGGTGGCATGCCTACCTAGAGGGGTAAATGTAGTACTTTTTTTTGGTTCCCTTGTTTTTCTTGGTTCCGTCATTTTTCTTGGTTGAACCATTTATTTTGGGGTCGGAAGCTCATTTTTGCAGTAACAGCTCTGCATGCACCGAATCAAACGACTACCGGCATTTTGCTTGAGTTTTTTGCGACTTGGCTCCAGCACGGGCCTCGAAGCTGCTGCGTGGTGATGTTTTTCTTGTTAAATCTTCCTGACTGAGAATAGACTCCATGAAAGATCACACACCTTCTAAAGGGCATCCTCGCCTTCGCTTTTTTTGATGTGCTGGACTCTTCATGACGCGTTGCATACTTGTCAGCCTGAAGCAAGGGGCAGGAACGTTTGTTGACAAAGTATGACGTGCGCGTGGCAATGCGTGCCACATGGCGAGCTGCCACCTGTGTATCACGCCGCCATGTGGTGTTCCATTCAACCATGCACACAAACACACCTTTGAACAGGCACGTGACTTGCCAAAGGGTTCAACTGCATTGGCCAACGGATCATCTAAAATGAGTAGGTTGTCCTAACGCTTTTGGCGTGTGTGTGTGTAAGCAAGGTGCGTGTCCCAAACCGTGACCCCTGTTTTCCGACGAGCCCATTCTTCTTTGCGCGTATAGGGTGCCAACTTAAAGAAAGGGGGCATGCTGCCAAGCACATCATCGCACAGATACTTCAGAGCTAAACACACACTTTCCTGGAGCTGCCTGAAGCGCTCACGATTACATGGCAAGTGGCCGCACCTTACCGGTTTGCCAAAGAAAGCAAAAACTTGACCTGGGACCATGGGAGAAGCTCAATCACTCCGGCACAAAATATTGCAACGGAGCACAACCTGCTGCCGCCACCGCCTTAAATACTTAAAATTAGACCGCGCCAGCCTCAATCCATCAACCAGTTCATGCTTGTGGGCTGGGACATGTCGCTCTTTCATGCTCTTTCTGGGCGAAGCGCGGACCATGGGAGCAAGCATGCCCAACACATGGCACCCACGTACGATCGAGGGTACTATGCAGCGCCAACACTTCAACACCCGTTCTTGCTTTACCACAGGCTTCCCCAGGCAGCAACATGTGTCCAACAGCAACTTTCCACAGGCAAAGGTCGCGCAAGATTGCGCCGGGCAACCAAAAAACAGCGCCGGGCAACCAGTTTTCCGCGCAATCTTGCGCAATCTCGCCAAGCGGCTGAAACCGAAACGAAACCTCTCACCCGAGGAAATGATTGGAAAACACATTGCGTTAGGTTGTGCATCAAGCAGGCGGAGGAAAGCGTGTCCCAAAAATTGCATTTTTGGACAAAGCTAGATTGATCAACTTACACTATTTCTCAAATGGCAACCTTTCGCTTTGATGCTGTTTAATTAGAATGAGTCTCTATATCCTCGCACTATGGCAAAACCATGTGCCAAACGTGGTCTTCAATGCATGCCTGGAAAACTCCCATGTTGCGCGAGATTGCGCAAGATTGCGCGCAAAACTGGTTGCCCGGCGCGTTTTTTTGGTTGCCCGGCGCAATCTTGCGCGATCTTTGCCTGTGAAAAGTCGCGGTTGGACACATTTTGCTGCTTGGGAAGTGCGTTGAAGGGTGCAGGAAAGAGTGGCCACACAACATCATGCCTTAATGAGGCAACAATGGGTGTAGGATCCTTGTTCTGCTAGCTCGCCCAGCCACTGGCTCATACATGCTGGGTGTTTGTGCGTACGGCTTGAACAGAGCTCATGCACGACGTGCTTGCTTAATCCCATGTGCGTTTCAGAGGTTGCTTCCTTGCATATGTGGTCAATGTTTGCTGTATCGCTTGACTGGCCGACTCATTTCCCCAACAATGCCTACTACAGAACGCAATTTGCCACGTGACTCCAGATACGTTTCCTCTCTGTTATAACAGGCGGCTTCTCATTTTTCGTTTTGTTTCTTCTTCTTTTTTTCTACATGACGCTTTGCATACTTGCAAACCAGAAGCAAGGGGCAAAAAGACCCCTCAACAAGGCCTAACTCGCAAGTGAAAACGCAAGTCACACAGCCGACTGAGACTTTTGTGCTACGTGTCGCAATGGCTTTGTCGGTATAATGAGGCGTGACACATGCGCAGTGTACGATGATGCACAAACAGGAATACCTGCCCAGTCTGCTGTACAGAGCCAGAGATTTGGTGTATCCAGTTTCTCTACCTCGCTTTCAATGCTGGCATGCAGCAAGACAATACATGGATTTTTTGGTTGAACCAATTATTTTTGGTTTTTATGGAAAAACCAAAAAATAGTGCTACATTCCGCCCTCTAGGTATAGGCATGTTTACGGTTGTAGGTTTGGTTCAGAGTTCGACAATTACAGTACAGATTCCTCAAATCCGCGAATATGAGGTCCTTGGAATGTCTGGGATAGAACAAAGCGAGGTTGAACAATATGTTGTTTTCAAAACCTCAGATAAACAATACCAAAGCAAAGGACTTTCCTCACTTTCGTATTGGCTTTTGCTTGTTTTATCTACGGAGCTCGCCGGGAGAAAAGGGAAGCTGTCTTTGATGGTGAGTTCGGTTGTCAGGGGCTTTCAAGCCTATAAAAGGAAACCTTGCGAGGGGGAGAGGGAAACAAGAAATATTGATGAAAGGAGCAAAGGCAACAATACCAGCAGGAACCAACGAGCAATGCGCTAGCTACTGCACGGTAATTCACACGACCCCACACACAAACATGGAAACCAACAAAGGTTCCATGACGGAGTATAAAGACATGACCATACATCCAGTTACATTTCTCAGTGGACTCTTCAGAGAAACATCCCCTAAGCTCTTAGGGCTTAACACTCCCCACAAAAATTTGAACCCCCCACCCACCCTTTTCTGACAACGTCCAGTCCCAAGTCTTTGATAAACAATTGCAACCTTAAAACTCCCTGCGCCCTGGGAAAGTTCTCATCTTTTACAGACATATAGCCCATCTTACCCCCAAAAAGTTGAGAAAAGTGGTTCTTTTTTAAGAGGTAAGGCAATGGGAAGCACCCGCAACCTGGGCTTAGAATTCACAAACCGCAAGGATCCATATCGAAAAGGGTGTGGTTTTTGGTACCTACCTCTTCGAGCAGAGAAGTGCGTTGACAAAAACATCCTGGAAAGCCCCAACCGAAGGATCCATATGAAAAGGGTCTTGTTGGTACCTCATGTTCGAGCATTGGAGAAGTGCATTGACAACAAATTCCCTGGAAAGCCCGAAACCATGCAATTATGGGATACCATATGAAGGCTCTGGGCGACTGGCATCAAAAAAAAAACCGAAACGATGTGGCGGTGGGTCAAAACTGGGTAACCGAAATGGAAGCCTGATACATGAAACCGAGGACCAAAACCTGTGGCCCAATTCCTGGTGGTGTCATTTTGACCCCCCATGCTCCTTTTCAGGCTTCGGCCGTCATGATCCCTATGCAGAACTTCAGAACCCCGGGCTGCAGAGTTTGGAGGCTCCGATCGGCTTCGGCTTATGGAAGACCCAGACCCAGACGCACACCCCTCTGTGGGGTGATGGGGGTCTCAAGACCTGGCTGTTTCAGGGCCAAAAAAAAAATCGAAGTGGAGCCTCTGGGAAAAGAACGAAGCACGATCTACCAGGTCCTTTAGAGGAGAGGTTAGAATAAGGGTACCCGATGTTTTTGCTGTAGTCTATTTTAGTAGGGGAATCCTCCCCCGAAAATTGTAACAGGGCACTACTGGGGGACCTTGTCTAGGTGGATTGCCCGCAACCTTCCAAACTTGCTCTTCGCCATTCGAATAAACTGGCTTCATTATTTTACCATGATCAAAGTCACCCCCTAAGTGGTGGGTTAAATGGAAACAACCCCATTTTCCGACTTTGATAACCCCCAGAAGCCGTCAAGATAATGACCCCGGATAAAGTAAGATAACCACAAAGTACAAAGTCGAAGTACGGGACTGAGCATAGGTGTCCTTTTAGGGGAAATAGATGGCCCTGGTAGATGAGATTCAACCACCAGATAAACCAGGGCCCTCTATTTTTCCACCAAATCAACCAAAAAGGACACCTATGGGAGTGAGAGCACCCGCGCCGCTCGCCGCTCGCCTCTGGCAACCCGTCCGAGTACTTTGGGCGCCCCGGCAATCTCGCTCCGCCCGTTGGCGACACGGCAGGTGGCGCTGCCAGTGTTGTCAGCGTAGTTCTGCCAGCTAGGCCTCCGGCAACGGCGACGTCCAAAGCGGAGACTTGGACGTTCAACCAACTTCTCACTTCCTGAGCGGATGTCCCAAATAAAATTGTCTTCCCAAAAAGTTTAAAGTCCAGAAACTCAGGAAGTGAGACTTAGTGCGTAGGCTGAAACCATCGGAAAACGAAGCTTACCTCCCCTAACCATGGTTGTAACGCACTTACAAAGTACTTTGAACACATGAGAACACAGCTATCTGCAACATTTACAAGTGTCCAAACCATGAAACCACACGATTCCCGAACTCGTCAAGGTCCTTCGTGGCGTTAACGGCTCGTTTTCTCACCCCGGATCTGTGAAGCGGCAAACCCACGACTTGCCAAATGTTTCCCTGGGTCCTCCAGTAGAGAGGTTAGAATATTCAGGTTCCCGATTTTTTTCTGTAGTCTATTTTAGCAGGGAAACCGAAACTCCCCCAAAAAAGGGGGTAAACCACCAGGGCCATCATGATTAAACCACCAGGTAAACCAGGGCCATCTATTTGTCTACCAAAACAACAAAAAAGGACACCTATGATTGGAAGCCATTGCTTGTTGGTAAAAAAACAGGGAATCAAATCATTCCACAAATGTTTCTTAGGTGGTGCGCAATGGATTTCGTCCATCCACAGTAGGTCCAAGGGTCTGCTGACTCCACTTATCCTACTGGCCACACGCGCCTCGAACTCCTGAGGGGGGTTGCATCCCTGCAACATCTGCTCGCTCTGCCACTTCTCGCTTCTTGTCAAGGGCTGTCTGGCTGATGATGGTCTTTAACTGCATGAACTTAGGCACAGAGCTCTTCATGAGGTACATAGCAGGTGCCATGCCCTGCTCCTTCTTGGTCATACGGCTGTACTTCTATTGGTGGTTTGACCTATTCAAATCCCCAAGCCAACGATCCAAACCACCAGCTAGGGGTTACCTGAGATTTGTCGTGCGTCTTAAGGGCAAACCCTGTCTCTGACAAAAAGGATTCCGGTGGTATGGGGTATGCGCTAAGAGGCACTGAAAAGCACCTGTTTCAAACCCATTCCGAAAAAAGTACGTAAGTTGCCAACCTGGTGAACATACATGGGCAGGGAACACGCGTGCAAGAAAATTAGCATGCGGTGTGCCTTGAGAAGCACAGCGCTACCTTCATTAACAGTCTGCATAAACAATCTGTGCACCAGTCATCTGTTCTCCCGCATGCCCAAATGCAAGAGACACAACGCCAGTTTGAAAGTTTTCTCTTCTAGGTCCTCCAGTAGAGAGGTTAGAATAAGGGTACCCTTCTTTCTGTAGTCTATTTCAGTAGGGAACCCTCCCCCAAACAAGTTTGGAAACAGGGCACTGGAAGACCTAGTCTTACTAGCCTTTTTGTTCTGAAGCCAGCAAGCCACCCACACGTCATGCTTCAGCCGAACAGGAACTGACGTGAAGCGCCAACCTATCCCTGAAAGCATTATGTGGATGGACGAATTCCTGCACTACCTTGAAACCATGGGAAACCATTGTTTGCTGGTATTTACAGGGGAATAATCATTCCAGCGTTTCTCAGGTGGTGCAGGAATTCGTCCATCCACAGTATATTGACCGTTTCTTGGGGGTAAAGTCAGAAACTGGTTGCTGGTTCCCGTTCACCTACCACTTGGGGGGTGGCTTTGATCCTCGGCAGAAGAATGGGGCCAAACATGGAAGTGAAGAGAGGCTTCCCCAAACACCTCTAGATAGATTCCGTCATTGTTGGAGGGAGGGCACACGCGCTATAACATGTGGGGTGTCATGATGGAACCCATTTGTGAGCACCGAAATACTGCGTTCTCAACTTCATTTGCGTGCCATGTCAACCTGGGAGGAACAAACCTTTGAGATTTGGAGATTAGGTGCTCCGGTGCTCCCCCTTTTGAATGGGACGCCCTCTGCGCCCTTCACAAAAACAAATCAAACATGTCCATGGCATGGGATCCCCCCTCTTCTCGCCGCTGATGCGGGGCTTTGCGAAAATTGGCGGGGGGGGGTCTTGGTTTTTTAGGGTGGATGAATCGAAAGCTTTGTCCTGGCACGGACCTCTAGGGGAGGCAACCACCAATTGAGTCACAATCAAAACCCGGTATTAAAATGGTTGACCTAGAACCATGAAAAGACTTAAGAAGGCGGCCGCAGCTATTTATGGTTGGGATTGTCCCTTACTAACCTTCATCTACCCAGGTTTGATTGTGGCTCAATTGAACCCTCCGGGCCTTGGTATCCTTGGCTCCAGGGATAGAGAGCCCCCCCATTGCCCTAGGTCCATGTGTTCGTCAATTTGTTGAATGGTTTTGGAAGAGCCAAACCAAAAGGAAACCACCCAGTTTTGTTGAAATTCCAAGAACATCGGACAGGGATTTCATTGGGCCACCTTGCTGTTTGGCGGGTTGGCTAAGTTCTTCTAGACTTTTCCAAGTTGCTTGCGACTTGTTGGGGAACCCGGTTTTGAGACAACCCTATGTCCCGCTCCACCCTCGCCGCACTTGCCCCAAAGGTCTGAAGAGTCCCATCCTGGCCCAGTCATAGCTGTTGGCCACGTGCTGCGCCTATCGACCGGAATGGGTTGCTCCGATGCTCCTTCCTCTTGCTGAGTTGACTGGCACTGATTTCATGGAAAGTTATCCCCCCGCCAGAAACCCTCTTGTTGACCGATTCCTTTTTGTGCCTTACCCCTGCCTTTTTGCGGGTAATTCACATTTATAAAATCATCAATTGATTTATCTTTCGATTTATTCTCAGGCATTCGGCGGCCTGTTGAAGAAATACCCTTGTGAATGAGCAGGGGGGCCAGGGTTGGGCGGTTCAAGCCCTGCACGTTCTAACCGCCAAGCTGTTTACCCTCAACCTGATGCGTTTTAGGGTTCCAAGAGCAGCACTCGTCTCGATTCCTGAAGCCCCCCTCCCCCCCCGTCACTGAGAGAAACGACCTTTGTTGGAGATCCAGCCTCGTTGAGGACACCCATGCTCTTTGGGCATGCAACCAGGTGCAGGGAGAACAACTTTCTAGGGATACCTTCCCCATTCTTTCCAGGAATCCTTCTTTCTAGAAAACTTCAAGACACCCAGGAAAATGGCTGGTTTTGAAAGAACGATGGTTGAACAGAGTGGGGAATCAACCCCCAGAAACTTGGAAAACTGCGTTCGAACACAGTTTCCAAACGACCAATGTCCTTCGCTCTCTAAGAAACAAACTCCAGGACAATATCTAGGAAATTCACCACATCCCAACTTTTTGCGGGCGTTTGACTTTCCTTTGGGTTCCCTCCTTGGACCACCCCCACCACCCCCCTTTTTACCTTTGTGACTAACTTCCTGGAGGTCCTTTCGAAGATTAGTAAGCCTTCAGCACCGTGAAGAACTTGGGCCGAACTTAGACCTGCAAACAGTTGTGGTTTGCTGGCAAGGGGAAACGGAAGGACAGGCCAAACGGGCAAACCGGAGCATCTCATGCAAGTCCGCACTCAAAAAGGTTTGCAGGCAAAAATGTGGCCAAACGGGCCAAAAAAACAAAGGGCAAACGGGCCAGGAGTCCCCCGAAGATTCCTCATATTTCCCTTGGGTTCAGGGATATAACCACGACTCTAGCCTACCTGGACCCTCAAACTACCTACCCTCAAAGACCAGAATTTGCTCCAAAGTGTTGGGGCAATACATGCCTTTCTAAAAAGCAAGCCATGGTTTCCCTTGCGCTGCTCCGAACCCCGCTGACCAAACGCAAGTGGACCCTAGAGACTCGGATCGAAGCCTCGACGGCTTCGCGAAGAACTTCGAGGCTCCTGGGGACGTTCGGGTCCCGGAGCCATGTCGGACACCGTTGTGATCCGAATTTTGATGGGGTCTATTGGTCTTTCGTTCTTTTTTTGGTTTTGATCGAATGTTGGTGGGGTCTATTGGTCTTTCGGGCTTGTTTTTGTGTTTCCCGCAGAAGCGGATACCATAGTTTTTACAATTGGGGAGGCCTGGGAAACTGTGATAGCACGCTTTTGCTCGTGCATTCCTCGACAAATGCCTAGGACTATGGCAGACTTTGGGTAGGTGAGTGCCCCCCAACAGGACTGGTGAAGCATTATCCTCCTTCCAATGTGCAAGTGCCAGAAGCGTTGCGAGGGGCTCCTCCCAAAGAACTGCTTTAGAGTTTGCCAGCTTAAGTTAACGATGTTCCGGCTCCGCTGGTAGGGCCTGAAATTATTCCTGAATTTCATCGCCGTCAATGTGCAGTATCCCTGGGGTTCAAACAACCATTAACACAAAGAGGATAGAGCTAACCACCAGTATTTAGCGAAGGAGTGTCATCATACAAATTGGGTCAACCTTTCATCTAATGGGGGTTGAACCCTAGGGGTATCCTTCTTTCTTGGTAATATCGAATTTTGTTACAGGCACAGTCTTCCCATACCTAGTCCTTCCAGCTACCACTAGAGCAGGAGGGCATCCAACCTCTAATCATAACATGATGGCTTGCCCCTTTTTAGGAGTATGGCATAGTAATAATCAGCAAGCGTACCCAACCAACAGGTACAGTTAGCACACAATTGAAGAGTTCACAAATGAGGTTCCTGGTGCCAACTGATTTGTTAATCACTATACTTGTAAGGCTTGGTTTCCCATTCTGTTCACCCATCCTACGTTGAGAAACCACATGTTTCCCTCGTAGATGTCATTTTCCAGAAAGAAGGATCCTGAACGGACTGAGGTGCGGCTAGAATACTGTATACCCGGACCGTTGAAATAACCTTACAAATGGGAGATTGCCCCAAAACTATGAGCTGAATTCAGGGTGGGTCAAAATTAAAAAACCACCGTTTCCATTTACCAGGTTTTTGTTTTTAGCCCCCTATTTGTGACCCACAGCCAAAATCCTTTTCCAAGCGTGGTTAGTTTGAGGGACCAGGCGCTGGTATCTGGAAGCACTGGGATACAACATGTTCTCCTTCGGCGCACTGCCCAAATCTTGCCGCAAGCGCTGCCTGCAGGCGAAAACGCGGAGTCCTACCTGGGTGTTCAACCAACGTCAGGTAAGTAGGTTATTTGCCATGGTTGTAATTGTAAGACGCCTAAGCCCAGTTACACGTGTGTCTTAAAATGGGGGACACCACAAATGATTGGTCTCCTTTTTGGCTTCTCTTTCAAACAGCTCAACAAAAACAAGTCAACAAAAAGACACACCCGTATCCCTGCCACCCATCAACAGTGCCCACCACTGGAAACTTAATTCGGAGCAACCGCTATTGTCCTGATGTCCCACTTAGAGCAGAGTTTTTGTGGGCTACATAAAAAGGGGAACTCCGCGGAGCCTACGCAAGCCTACGCGAGCTGCATTTTTGCAGGGTTTCAGCCTACGCGGAGGCAGTTCCTACACAAAAAGCCTACGCGGACTGCGCAGACACACTATTCCAGCCTACGCGGCTCCGGGCGCTACAAACAAATATATCTGTCCGCACGGTGTCCTGAACATGGGTACGAATGGAAAACGCTGCTCAAACGAAAAGTAAGAAAGGCCGCAACTGGAGGCCTGCCATACTGTGGATGGACAGAATCCTGCTCCACTTTGAAACCATGGTTGAAACCATTGTTTGTTGGTATTTACAGGGGAATCATCATTCCCGGTTTCTTGGGTGGTGCAAAATGGATCCATTCACAGTAGTGAACCATCGCAAAATGGCCAACAACGCCACCTCGAGACCCGGTGGTGGAAAGAGCATCGGGCGGCCTTTTACAGGGACATGAGTGGCCTCAAAGGGTATGAGGCATCTGTCCATTTTCATACTGTGGATGGACGAAATCCTGCACCGCCTAAGAAACACGGGAATGATTATTCCCTTGTAAATACCAACAAACAATGGCTTCCTATGGTTTCAATTTGGTGCAGGAGTTTGTCCATCCACAGTATGAACCATCAGAAACATATGAAACTGTGGCATGAACCCACTACTCGCAGAACCCTCCTAATATATTAGCCTTGATCCACTCTAACAGCAAGCGGACAACCTGCGAACTTTCGGAGAATTGGGAAGTCAGAAGCCAGAAGGTCGGAAAGTAGTGGCTTGTCATTGTCACAATACTGCTGGATTGACAGCAAGCAAAACTCGTCGAGCTCTCCAAACAAAGCTCGCGGAGTGCATCCAACTGCTCACACTGGCCGAGTCAACAAGCTCCGAACCTGGGCGTGACACCATGCCGTCTGTTGATTGACATGGCTTGCTGGTGCTCACTCAGCAGGAAGGGAATGAGCCCGAAAAGCCATCCCTTGTTGTTTCCTTAAAGGGGACCACGGGATTCATTCCCACATTCCCTACTGAGCACCAGCAAGATTGTTGACTCGTTCGAGAGTGTCTGTGTCTGAACCAAAACTTGCCATTGTTCATGGCTTTTGAACCTGCTTCCATCCTGCTGATAGCTCCCTGCACATAGCCCCTGGCCCACATGGTGTCCCATTGGTAGAAAATCACTTCCATTCTGCCAGCGCCAGACGCGGGCAGTTGGCACAACACTAAGTAACCAAAGGAAACCGTCATGTGAAGCCCACAAGCGAACAACACACCAGGCCTTGCATGGCTTCTGTCAAAAAGCTTTTGATTTGGCCTTGTATCATTTCAGGAACCCTGTTCGAAAACCACCCCCTACTGCTATACTGCTGTGCTACTATTGTTCCTTCTCGAAACGTGTAGCGCACTCCACACAAAGTCTAGACATCCAAAGGAAAACAACTACACTGCCGCTACATGAAGTCTCCAATGAGTCCAAAAAAAAAACATGTCAGTAACCAACGGGTCACAACCAACTATTTTTCAAGGGTCTGAAGGACCTTCCAGGTGGGGCCTTTCCCCGGCCTCCCGCCGCGCATGGCTCGGCTCGCCGCCTTGGGACTCACTGAAACGCTCCCAGACCCCTGTCCCGCGTGTAGCCATACCCAGTGGATCCCAGACAAACCCATTTGATACACCACTAGGGGGAAGCTGAGATTTGCTCAAGTCCCCTGAGAAAAACACATGGCGGATTGTGGACCCCCTTTTAATCAACAAGGGAAAATAGCACATACTATTTCAGCAAATGTGCAAACAGGAACACCCTCACAAAACACATCGCAATTCTTCCAGTTACCACTATAATAGGTAACCAAGAGAAATCATCATGTGGTTAACTGTGAACGTAGCTTGCCTCGAGATTTTTGGTTTGAAGTTCACTGAAATATGTATTATCTGTTTTTTGAGGTTCGAAGGGGTCGCCTTAGGTTTCCAGAGACATACAACTTGGAGCCGTTTTCAACCCGCACCCTCTGCAAAGCAACGCAAGGAACCCAAAGGAAACCAAGATCCATGGGCACAAGCCAATGGACCCAATAGGTGACCGAAACTGGAAACATGGATGGGTTTCCCTGGATGGAAGAAACCCCATCTAAACTAGCGCACTCTACTTCCAAACTAAACAGGCCGCCTACTAGCGGCAAACGCGTGAAACAACCAAAAAGACTGTCGGAAAAACCAGGGTCCCCCGGAAAGGTTCTGACATGCGATCTGTTGGCTTCTTCAAGCAAGACCTTGGTTGGGCCGAATGTGTCGCTCCCTTTTTGGGGGCCAGTTGAACGTGCCTCCAAAACTCGAGACTTTACGTGCGCGGGGGGTTGGGGGGTGGGAAGGGTGGCAAGCATTTCTTCAATAGGGTAGCCTACACATATCCATTTTAGTAGGTCGTGAGTGACAAGGTTGCCCTTTGCAGCAGGTCCCCTATGGTCACAGCCGATGGTCACACCCTGTGTGTATTTCATGGGATGGACAAGTGGAGATCCGCAGCGGAAGTGGGCATCCAACAGGAAGGCGTGCAAGCACAACATGACAGTTAATGTTGACCCCCTCCTAATCAACCCCAGTTTACTGATAGGGGGGTGGTCCCCTCCCCACATTTCACCCTGTTGGACACCCCCCATTAAACTGGTTGGTTGGCCAATATGGGGTTGGCCCATGGGAGTTTCCATCTCGGAATCAAACCAAGGCCCATGGCTGTGGGCGAATGATAGCGAGCTGCCCGTTCACGGCATCGTTCCCATCTCGTGCAATAGGGCATCCGCGCGAGAATTTGGGTATGCAGTGCTAGCAGCAAGAGGTTCAGTAGTATTTCGAGGAAATGAGTGTGGTCGGGAGCACTGGATGGGGATGGCTGTACACGGAGACCTGCAAGCTAACAATGACTTAGCATCATGGCTCGTTGTGTATGAGAATTAGGGGCCTTGAAGGGCTGGGTTCTGCTGTCCTCCTCTGAAAGCAAAAAACATGGCCCAGCCATATTGTCCTATTATTATTATTATACTTTGACACTCTTCCATGCTCACAGGGTTCCATTGTCCTCGTTTCTTTGTATCGTCCGCTAACGCATGGCAGATCACTTGCAAAATACTTGCTTGGTTAAAAACTTTTGTTTGAGAGGAAACGCCTTGGCGACCAAAACAACGGCAAGGGACATGCCCTCTGTGCACATCCACCACTACAAATGTCGTTTCAGAATTCGAGCAGCTTTCATTTTCCCTCGGCAAACAAACATGGAACCCAAATTGTTTTGGTTCCCCAAGAAAGATTGACTGCAGCCAAACACTGGTTTTGGGGTTTTCACGCTGTTCTACTGAGGTGTGGCTTGCCTACTGCACGTGCAAGTCAAAAAGCAAGTCCTGAAACCAACCAAGCCCCTTTGCACACTGCACCGTGAAGCCAGGAAACTCCTACCCGGCTTATCTTGATTGGTCCTCTGCCATGGGAAGCCAGGGGACGTTTTTTTTCCCGGAAGCATTGCGAAGGGTTCTTCTTCTAAAAGCGGCTGCCAACTTCACCTGCCAACTTCTCATGCCAACTTGTCGAGAGTTACTTCACATGCCAACTTCTCATGCCAACTTGTCGAGAGTTACTTTGCCAACTTCTCATGCCAACTTGTCAACTTCTCATGCCAACTTGTCGAGAGTTACTTCACCTGCCAACTTCTCATGCCAACTTGTCGAGAGTTACTTCACCTGCCTACTTCTCATGTCAACTTTTTGAGAGTTACTTCACCTGCCAACTTCTCATGTCAACTTTTCGGCTGTTATCTCATTCTACTAAAAGCACAAGCTAATTTGTCGGGTGTTACTTCACTATCCTAAAAACACAAGCTAACTTTTCTGTTCTACCTTCACTTCTCGACTCTTAATTCTTCTTCTTTTTCTGGCGGGGGTAGGCCCGACAGGAGCTTACGAAACGTCACCCCTCTGCGGAGATCGTGCGTGTCGAAGCGCTCTCGCTGTGGCGCCGTGCGAATTTGTCTTGACCGGCGAACCCTCTGCGGAGATCGTGCGTGTCGAAGCGCTCTCGCTGTGGCGCCGTGCGAATTTGTCTTGAGCCCGCGAACCCTCTGCGGAGATCGTGCGTGTCGAAGCGCTCTCGCTGTGGCGCCGTGCGAATTTGTCTTGACCGGCGAACCCTCTGCGGAGATCGTGCGTGTCGAAGCGCTCTCGCTGTGGCGCCGTGCGAATTTGTCTTGCGATCTGTCTTGGCGAACCCTCTGCGGAGATCGTGCGTGTCGAAGCGCTCTCGCTGTGGCGCCGTGCGATTTTCTTGCTCGCGAAACGGCTTTTGGAAGTTGTCTCGTGGTGTGCGCGCCTGCTTTCGCAATCCCGCGGTCCCGGGTTCGATTCCCCCCTGGTCCGCGGCAGCTCCGGCTTGAAAATCGCAGCTTTTAAGTACAAACGTAGTACGCGGAGCGTGCTCCTGCAGCTCCGGCTGGAAAATCGCAACTTTTAAGTACAGACGTAGTACGCGGAGGCTGCTGCAGCTCCGGCTGGAAAATCGCACTTTTTAAGTACAGACGTAGTACGCGGAGCGTGCTCCCGCAGCTCCGGCTGGAAAATCGCAACTTTTAGATACAAATGGCTGGAAAATCGCAACTGTAAATTGCAAATGTAGCACGCGGAGCGCCTCCGCCGCTCCAGCTTTTTGAGGGTTAATTACTTCACCTGCCAGTTTCTCATGCCGAAACTTCGAGAATTACTTCACCTGCCAGCTTCTCATGCCACCTTTTCGAGAGTTACTTCACCTGCCAACTTCTCGTGCCAACTTTTCGAGGAGTTACTTCACCTGCGAGCTTATCATGCCAACTTTTCGAGAGTTACTACACCTGCGAGCTTCTCATGCCAACTTTTCGAGAATTACTTTACCTGCCAACTTCTCATGCCAACTTTTCGAGAAATACTTTACCTGCCAACCTCTCGTGGCAACTTCACCTGCCAACTTTTCGAGAATTACTTCACCTGCCAACTTCTCATGCCAACTTTTCGAGAAATACTTTATCTGCCAACCTCTCGTGGCAACTTTTCGAAAAATTACTTCACCTGCCAGCTTCTCATGCCAACTTTTCGAGAGGTACTTCACCTGCCAACATCGCCTGCCAACTTTTCGAGAGTTACTTCGCCTGCCAACTTCTCGCGCCAACTTTTCGAGAATTACTTCGCCTGCCAACTTCTCATGCTAACTTTTCGAAAGTTACTTCACCTGCCGGCTTCTCACGCCAACTTTTCGAGAGTTACTTCACGCGCCATCTTCTCGTGCCAACTTTTCGAGAATTACTTCACCTGCCAGCTTCTCACGCCAACTTTTCGAGAGTTACTTCACCTGCCAACTTCTCATGCCAACTCTTTGAGAGTTATTTCACCTGCCAACTTCTCATGCCAACTTTTCTCTTGAGTTACTTCGCCTGCCAACTTCTCATGTCAACTTTGCGAGAATTACTTCACCCGCCAACTTTGCCAGCCAACTATTCGAGAGTTACTTAACCTGCCAGCTTCTCATGCCAACTTTTTGAGAATTGCTTCGCCTGCCAACTCCTCATGCTAACTTTGCGAGAGTTACCTCACCTGCATCAACTTGCCTCTATGCTTCCGGGCCACTCGTCGTCTAGTTTTTTTTTACTTGCCTTAGTTGGAACACTCCGGGGTCCCAAGGAAGCCAAGAGATACTTGGGTGTTCCTTGCCAAGGTCAGGTGAGGAATACGGTGGACGAAATCCTGCACCGCTTTGAAACCAGGGTTGAAGCCATAAGGTTTGCTGGTATTTACAGGGGAATCGAATCAGAACCCAGGGTTTCTTGGGTGGTGCGAAATGGATTTCGTCCGTCCACAGTATGTAAACATGGTAAGGAGACGATCCCCCCCGGTTAGTTACCAACCACTTATAACTAGCCATGGTCATAACTCACCTCCATTTGCTTATGTTCCTGGGATAAAACAACACAATTCCAGTAGTGACAATTTCCCTTTAAAACCAGCAGAGGAAAATATAACATATTCGTAAGCACATGGAAACTTACCTGACCCTGACGTTGGTTGAACAGGGATGCTTGACATTGGACAAACGAACAAGCGGGGATACGGAGGGAGCGGGGATATGGGGGATTCCCTTGGCACCATTTCCCATATCAAACTTAGTCAAGGTGCATTTAGGAGGAATCCTCCCGTATCCCTGGTTCCCCCGGTATCCCTGCTGCCTGGTTTCCCTCATTGACAGGGTCGTCCCCTTCGAGAAGCGCGGAAGGCACTTCCGGGGCCTGCGCTCCGCAACCGCGCAGCGCCGGCGAAGGGCCTTGATCGATCTGGCTCGAGAGCTGCCTTAAGCCTGGAATTCCTGGTCCCCAGGGCTTACCCAACTTGGATGAAGCTCCTTACTTGGTTGACGTTGGAAGGGGAGCAAAAATTAAATTTTAGCACTCAAGTGGGGATTTCCCACTAAACCACAATAAGCAAAAATGTAAAATGTTTCCCAACAACAACCATGCTTAGGTAAATAGTGGTGGATAGAAATTGACCCCCCTTTGTTTGATTGGCGGAAACTGGACCCCAGGGTTAAGGCTGGATTTGCGACAAGTCGGGCTCGTGGTGTTGGCCCTGTAAGAAGCGGTTCCAACTCCAGTGACCTGCTCTCAGAGAAGCCTGGGGCAGGGGCTGTGCAAGCCTTGTGAGTGCTCCCCTGGTTTGATGGCATGCTTAGGCAGCCTGGCTGTCTGCATCTCTGATTTCAGAAGCTTTCGCCGCTTGTCAACACATTGAAAGCTATAAGAGAAAAAGAGTTACGTTAACAGCTCAGATTCGTGCGCGAGGACTGCGCCTGCTCGAGAATTTGCCAGCTACAGGACGCAGGATTTAACCTAGGGTTTAGTGGGGATGTCCATTTACTTCACCCACCAAAAGCTGAAGTTTTAGGGTATCTGAGGACGGCCCAGTACATTCGTTTTGGAAACTCGGAGGAAGTGCACTTCCATGTTTGTTGGAGCGGGGAACAGATACAACCTAGAGGAAGATGAATCGCCTTCGCCATCACAATCGCAGGGAAAAGACGCAACCAACAAGCATATTAAAAGACCTGCACCTGCCACAAACAAACCATGGAGGCACTTCTCTTGCAAGACTACCTTTGGTTTGGAAAGTTGCATGGGCTCATCTTGTTTGGAACAATGTCGATGGGATATCGTCACTGAAAGCGGCCCCCAATTGTGCATTTGGTTTCAACCGACTGAGAACAGCCAAGAGTCTCGTCCAAAGCAATCCGTGCACTTCCATGTGAGTGAGGGCTGAAGGTTGTTACGTCTTCCTGTTGCGTTGTCGTTTCCTTACTTGTCCACCAACAACATGAAATTGCAAAGCCCGCTTTTCCAAAGCGAACGAGACTTCCGAACGTGTCAGACTCCCGCACTTGAACGATTGTATGCCTGTGCCAAACTCCAAAACGGAGCAAACCCCCATGTTTTGACAAGAGCGCGAGCAATTTTCTATGGTTCTCAACTTGAGACAAGGCCAACCCCTCCTAGGTCCTCCAGTAGAGAGGTAAGAATAAGGGCACCCTTTTTCCAGTGGTCTATTTGAGTAGGGGAACCGAATCTCCCCCAAAAAAGAAACGGGTGAGAGGTCGGGCAGTACTGGGGGACCGAGCTATCGCACCAGCAATCAGCGCAAAATGTTGCCCCATTCGGCTCCACATCTTCCCCATTCCGAGCCTGTCTCCTTCTGGCTTCCAGGACCGGCCTCAGGAAGAAAAAAACCACTGTCGCCCAGGTGATGTTTTTGTGGCAACCAGTGCCTAAATTAAGTGGACAGCAACTGTCAGGCTGGCCTTCGCAAAAAAAAAAAAGGCCCGCCGTTGTGCTGTGCCGTGTCCGCCGCTGACACTTGCCAATATATGACCCAGGGACACTATGCTTTACCCAAATGGATGTGCACCATCTGGGGCCTCCGACGCAAGAGCAGCGGTCGCTGTGTGCCAGTCGCAGCGTGCCTGGCCGATCTGCAAGGGCTTGCCAGGTGGAGAAACCCGTTTTTGACCCTTCGGCCAACTTCTAAAGTAGGTTATAACCGTCGTTGTAAGTAGGTAACTGGGGTTGGTCTCCTTTTAACCATGGCTATAACCTACTAAGTTGGTTGAACACCCAAGTGGTCAAAAAGAACCGTGTTCAAAATGCCACCCCCTACTGCTACACTACTCTTATGCTACTATTGTACCTTCCATAGTACAGGTAGCTACCTCCACAAGCTCAGTTGTCAGGACCCAAACACAAGGCTCAGTCTAAAGGACCCTCCTTTCGAGAAGAAGCGCACAGGTAGCCACCGCGTGGTGACCGTGGGGATTTCGCTCCTTTGGCAACCAGTTCTGCAAAGGACTCTGAAATGCAGAAAGGGATACCCTCCCTACCAACATAGCCCAGCACAGGGGGTTCCCAAAGTAGAGGAAACTGATCTTCCAGTACACTCCCACAAGTGCTACGTTTGTTGGAGGAAGGGTAGCCTTTCGGGGTGAGTAAAAATGGACCAAGGGGAAAAGGGGAAAAGGTCGGATCCGGTCGATTCGCATTGGGTCTGGGTGAGTCTGTAAACCGAAGTGGGCCATCATGACCAGTGGATCATGTTAAATTGAAGAAAGTGACCATCAGACCAAGTCTTCCAGAACCAAGCCGCAGCGAGCTCCTGGCTTTTGGCTCGGGTTTCCCCGCCCCCCCCGAAGAAAAAGAAAACATCCAGCGCTTGCAGGCAAACCAGTCTAGTAGATAATCAGGGGAAATCATCCATGGTTCTAGGGGTCGGTTCCCCATTCTTTGCAAACATCATCATTTTCAAAAAAACAGCTGATTCCCCTGGGGTTCTGCTGGTTTTCTGAAAAGAAGGATTCCTGGAAAGAATGGGGAAGTGTCCCCTAGGATGGTAAAACCTAAAAGGAAACCTGGCTGCCTATAGTGGCAACTTGAAGCCCTGGGAAGGCTTTCAGAATTTTGCCGCACTGGAGACGACTTGCTGACTCAAATAAGACCCGGTGATACTGTGGATGGTTGCGAAATCCAGAAATCGCACCGTCTAAGACACCCTTGAATGATTCGATTTCCCTGTATGTACCAACAAAAAACATGCCCTCCCATGGCTTCTTAGATGGTGCGACATGGGATTTCGCAACCATCCACAGCATGCCGGAACGCAACTTTCGCGGAACGCACCCTTCCGGAACCCTTCCCACGTCCAGCGCCCTAACCTGTCAAGAGCTAATCTGGACAAAGTCCCAAAGCTTTAAGCTGTTGGCAAATAATCTTCTCCAGAAATTGAAGTCTGGAAACTGCGGAAGTAAGTTGCGTGGGAAAGCACACATAACATGTTCTCCAGAAGTCCGAGGGTGTCCATCCAAGCCAGTCAAGCTGCCAAATGTAAACAGAACTGGGAGCTTCTCAAAAGAATGGTCCCTCTCCTTTAAGATGGTTTGTGTCATTTTGGCTTCCCTTCACGCCCTTGACAGCATGTGCGTACGATATGCATGCACAGACGAGAAAGGTTCAAGTTAAACAATGTGAATCCCAACCCCGGACCGAAAATCATGAGGGCTTCTCCTGCTAATGTCAGACCCGCTCTTGTAGATGGGATGTCTACCGTAGAAAGTGGCTTCCTGAGTTGAGATCCTGTGACTGCCTTGGGGTCTTCAGCAATAGAAAGTTCACCCCCGGAAAAATGTGCAATACAAGCCCCAATGCTAAAGCAAGTACTCAACAACTTAGGGTAAGTCTGGGAAATACTGTTTCAAACTTGGAATGCTACAGTAGGTACTAGCAAGTCCAAGTCCCATCCAGACCCCCCCCCTTTTCTGTTTGCACTAAAGAGGGTCCCTGCAACTGTTGGCACTGTTCCAGGCAGGGGGTATCGCATTAAAGAACTGTTTTTCATACCCACACACTTGAGTGTTCGGTCACTCTGGTAGGTCGTTGGTAAACTAGGCGATAACCAACTTACAAGACCCCATGGAGTTAACCTTGATATTCGTGGATTGTAACACAGGTGGCTAGCCACTTACTAACTTGGCGAATCGCTGGTTGAAACAATGGGAATTGTTTTTCCTTTTCCTTTTTCGGTGCGATGGGATGTGTGGACCTTTTCCCTCCCCAAAAACCTTCACGGATAGGGATGGTGGTGATTCTTCTGCTGTCCCTGTAAAACAGGGTTGCGGGAAACGACAACTTCTGCGATACGACAAAAAGGGCTTTCCAAAGACTAATCCCATATAAAGGGGAAGATTCCCTTGTATCACAGAAGTGGGAATAAACCCCTTGATCCCACAACCCTGCTGTAAAACTACGACCAAAAAGGTATTCTAAATGCTTCCTCGTAGCTCATGAGGTTAGGGACAAAAGTCTCTTCGACATCGAGTCATCGTCGCTCCTGGTTAGAAATTTGACTCCCTAACATCCATTAAGGCCGTTTCGTCCCCGGAAGAAAGACATATATACCTGGAGTCTCCATGACCATTCAAAAATGGGTCAATGACCAACCATTATTTTGGGTAATGACCAACCAGTTTTAAAGGGTCATGACGTCATGGAGACTCCAGGTATATATATATATAGATATATATATTCATGTGTGATAGATTCCCTTTAAACCCAACAGGGGAAATCTGCCAGGTATTCCCACCAGCCGAACCGTTCCGGACCCAGAAACGCTGCCCCAAACCACCGAAATGGGGGGAGCTGACCCGAAGAGTTTTCGGAAGAAAACATCTAAAGCAAATGGGGGTTGATCACTCTTCAACTTGCCCCCGAAAAATTGACCATGCGTAACTCTTTTTTCCCATTGTGGTTGGCATATCTATCATCCTTGTAGTGGGGTTTCTAACTCATCGTCGCCCGCCCCCCCCCCCCTTATGGAAGCTACGAGGATGTAGCACCTGACAGACGCCGGGCCAAGGAACCTCCGCGTTACTGGGTTGCTCCCAGCCCTGTCCAACTTGTTTTTAGGTCTGGAAAAGCATCATGTGGGTGGCTCGAATCTTCTTGCAGTTGGTACCCTCTTCTTTGTTGGTACCAGCTTTTTTCAAGGGAAACCAAAGGGAAAGAAAAGTGCGCCATTTTCTCACTCCCTCAGTGGACTGGCCAGAACAAGTCCAACCTTTTTGCTTGCCACTAAAATGGTTCAGCCTGCGGGGTGACTATAAACTCCATGCACTCAAGGAGAGAGCTTCTTCTTCTTGTGGGGGGCGACCAATTCCTAGTTTGCGACAGACCCATTGGTTCTCCGTAAAGTGCCTAAGCCCCCTGCAAAAAAAAACCCTCTGTTCAGTAGTGACATCGCTTCCTTTTAAAGCCAAGAGGGGAAAAGTAAACAAATTTCAACCCATGGAAGTATCGTTTTCTCACTTCCTCAGTGGGTGGGAAAACAAAAGTCTGAGCTTTTTGTTTACCACCAAAATGGTCCAGCCCCAAAAAGCTTAAAGTCCAGGAACTCGCTAAGGCTTTCGTTTTCTTGAAAACTCCCTGCAAACACCGATCAACAGGGGACACCCTGAAATGGAAGAAGGTCTCTCGGGGTCTTTGGGACGTCAGACGCACCCGCCTTCGGCGGAAGCGAGCGCAAGCCCCCGCTGGGCGCGCTGGGGCAGTTGCCCCGCAGCGGCACCTCAAGGTCTTTTAGCGAGTCCAACTGGGAGGTTGTTCAAACAGGGATCCTCACATTATACACCTGAACATTGCCTTGCAAATGGTGGTTTCCCTTTATTTTGGTGGAAAAAGATATGGCAACATGTATCTCTTAAGGAGCCCTGTCAAACCAGAGATGAGAAGTCCCGATATTCCCCTTTTAAAACATGGGTATGGGTCAAAATTGCACCAAGGACCGCAGGTTTTAGTCCTTTGCATTTATTTACCAGGATTCCATTCTGGGTGCCTATGTTTGACCCATGGCCACATCACCCCCACCAAGGGGTACTCAGCTTTCATGGGCCAAAAAGGTGATGTTTCAAACCACCACAAGGAAAAATCCAAGAGATGGCCCCTCCCCATAGCCACCTTTGTCCATGGGTAACTTGGTAACCCCCTGGGTGTTCCTTAGGACTGGATGCAACCCATTTGAGTCATAACCAAAAACCTGGTACAAACCTGGTGAACCCAAAACGAAAAAACATGTCCCTTACTAACCCTCACTGACCCGGGTCTTGAGTGTGGCTTTACCAAAACCCAGCTAAACCAGTGGAACCCGAATCTATTTCTAACCAAACTCATGGGTTCAATCCTTCAGCCCTTTGATTCACCAGACTCACCAGTGAGGCTAGCTGGAGACATGCCAATGAAAAACCTACCTGGAGTCTCCATGACCCGAATCAAACATGGGCCCATTTTTTAAGGGTCATGGAGACTCCAGGTAGATAGACCTGTCAGAAATGAATTGCGGATGACTGTCCCTCAAGAATGAGTCGAGTGAGCAACATGGCGGTCCTCCGACCAACGCCCTTCCATTTTGATGATTCTTTGAATGAGGGTATGTGTCGAAGGCAGGGGCCCTTCTTGCGACCGTGTGAAAGGAAGCTCCATGAAACTTTTAATCCAAATGGCGACGGCTTCCTTTCGTCCTTTGACCATGCAACGCGGGGCCGCCCCCATTCTGAGGCCACCTAAACAGGCCCCGACGTCACAACGAGCGCTTTCCGGACAGCACTTTGGCACCTCGAACATGTGATCTGAGAATTGATTTCCACGCGCAGAGAACCTCAAAGCTTGGAGAGCACTCCAAGATGTTCAGCTGGCACTAGCTTCCCTGACGGCTTAACAAGCTCCCCAGAAAGTGATCCGAGCCCACTCTAAAAGGAAGGCCCTTCTATGGGTGTATCTTATCTAAGAAACACTGGAATGATTCAATTTCCCGGCAAATACCCACAAACAAAGGTTTCAACCAGGTTGCAAGGCGGTGCCGGAAAATTCGTCCATCCACAGTATGGTTGATTCATCGGGGCTCGGAGGCCTTGCGACAGCAATGGGGATCCGTTGCAAGCGTTGCACCCAAACGCGCGCCTCAAGAAAGTGGCCCGGGCAGGCCATGCGACCTGGCAGGCCATCGGAGATCATTGGGTCCCGGTCGATGGTCCCGTGGTCGATGGTCCCGGGGGTGGATGGTCAGGCCTTCTGAAGCCTGGACCTCAACAACCATCATCTACACGACTCTCTTCAAGAGAGAGGCCTGAGAGGCACCAAAGCGGGGTTAGAAGGACCTCCAAAACTCCCAGAAGAAAGGAGGGGGCACTGGACAGGCACTGCCTGGAATTTTGTTTCTTCCTTTTTTATATATTTTTTTTTCGAGACAATGGTCAATTTACTGGTGGCTTCCCTGGAAACGATCGATCCACTTGAGTTTCCCAAACCATGGCCTGGGGGGTCGATCAGAAGAACTCAATGCGGAGCAAAAAGTAAGAAGTGCACTGCCCAAAGGCTCCAATTCGATTGATAAAGGTTGCCTTCAAACAACCAGGTTTTGAGACCCCAAACTACCTCCGGGGTGGCGAATGGAGGGGCCGGGTCTTCCATTGAAGCCGAAGCCAGGAGCCTCTGGGTAGACTGAAAAGGGCACCTCCCGCTTTACGTCGAACGGGGCACCTCTTCAGAGGGCAGGGCAAAGGGTAAAACCCGGGTGGAAGCCCTGTGAAAGCGTAGCCAAAGACCAAGGGGAGGCAATGGTCCCCTGCAGGAAACCCAAGGATAGCAAACCAAATCTAACTACCCCAGAAAATTGGTCGTCGGAGCAGCCCGGAAAATCATTGTGCATGTTATGCTATGGCTCCCTTGATATCAACCCGTACATTGTTTGCCTAAAGTCACTGATAGGTTCCCTACCAACCCAAACCAACCAAGTAAAACACACTCAGATCGTGGCCCCTAGCACAAGCATGCAGTTTGATTCCAGTAAAGAAACACACTGAACCTTAAAAGATATATATATATATATATTATATAAACACACATAATCTGCAAATTGTTTACAAATCGAATTTCATTTCTAAACCTGTAAGGGATCCCAAGCAAAGGAGCCATATCACGGGCTCAGGTGGGCTCGCACAAGCGGAAAGAGGACACCCAACACGAGCCCGGAAGCATCCCACTGGGAGACATGAGTCTACCCCGCCTGGCTCCATTCGGGATGGACCCTGCGGGACCCCCGCTTAAAACAGCCCCCTGGGCTCGTGTCTGCGTGGCGTTTGGCTCATGGCCGGTGTTGAAATGGATGTCGAAGCCCAAAGCATGGGCTGAGGAGAGTCCGTTCGGTTTTCTTCTCAAACCCCGGAAAAGGCTCAGGGGTCGCTAGATGTCCACCTGACAAGTTGATACATATCCTTGGCGGGTTCAAGCGAAAATGCCACTTTAGGTCCACAGAGGGGATATGAAGGAGCCCTGCTACCAACAACAAAATCGACTCCAACTGTTGCATGTGACAAGCAACCCTCAAAATCTCGAGCTGGAAACATATCAGGATTGAACTCTCCGGCGATTGTCCCACTCGCGAATTCACAACAAGTTTGATGCAAGTCGCAACCATGTCTCTTTGGCCTTATATGTCAAGCTCGAGTAACCCCGTTTGCTTAGAGTTGCATTGAGCAGCTTTGAACACGTATCAAAGCTGAGACCATGTCCAGATGTAGATTCTGGAAATTGGGACTCGCCACGAATTGTCCGAACATCAAAACAAGCGTCACATGCACTCACATGCACATGCCAATCTAACTGGTTGAACAAAAACAAGGTTTGCAACGCCAACAACTGTTTGCAACTCCAAATGATTCAACCATCACACGGGTTTGCCTGGTGTGCTTTTGGTCCAGCTTTCACGCCCATACCCTCTTAACAAGACACACAGACACATGTGGTTTGGAGACGCGGATAAGCTGTGCAGGACATGATATTCGGCTGCTTCAGCTTGTTCAGCTGTCAGCCAATATGCTGCCCGGCCAGCGAGAAGGCGACTGGGACACAGAATAGTAGGTATCCAGGGAAAACTGTCATGTACAACTTAGAGGTAAGCATACCTGGTTGCCCAGTATAGCGGTAGCTGGAACCACTGGAAAGTGTTGTACATCATGATTTCCCTTGGTTACCTATGATGGGAACTGGAAGCACTGCGCCTGGCATTGGATGTAGGAAATTGGTGCACACTTGGGCGAATTGTGGCTTCAGTTCATGTTCACCCACCTGATTTCACTCCTGCAACTGAACAGACACACCCAAACTCGGGCATTCTTGGAGTAATCTTGCTTGGGGGGGCAAGATGTTGGAATCCAATTGTTCGGTTGAGTACAAGCGCCGCATATGTGAGCACCCCACGGACGCAACGTTACCGAGGGTAGTGCTCTGCAGATGTTTCCTCATGATTTTGCCATTTTTCAAAGTCGCCCATATCAATCGGTTCAAGAGCATAGGCGACCTTTTGGAAAAGTGGCTGGCCCTGGCAATTACAATGAAACGCATTCACCCAAGCCGGTGGAAACCCATGAACTTCCAACCAAAGGAACCCCAAAAGGACACTTCGCTTCAGGAGGCTTGTGACGGGCCGAGTGCCAACTTGGATCTTGAAGAGAAGATGTGGAGGTGGCCATGGGTCAAAATCCAAATCGGTTAGCCCCAGTGAACATCCCAATCCCAACTAAACTAAACGAAAATGGGTGCTGCACCTACCCCAACATGATACCATTGGTTTCGACCCACAGCCATGTGTCTTTATTGAGAGCAATGGGAACCTCGAATCAATAAACCCCTGATTGAGTATTGGGGGGGGTCCCTTTAGTGGGGGTTCAGGACTGTTGGAGGGAAACACCACCCTGTTGATCTGGGGTCAACATTACTTGCTGGAGCTCAGTGGGGAATGTGGGAATGAACCCAGGGGTGTCCTTAAAGGAAACCATCGGGGATGGCTTGCAGGGGTCATTTTATTTCTCATTTCCTGCTGAGCACCAGCAAGACTAAAGGAAAACCAAGGCGATCCACGAGTCGCAATGTATCCTTTAGTGAACCATGTAAGCCTTTGGTATGAACCCAACTTGGGTGCACCTACCCCAAAATGGGATCCCATTGCTGTTGACCCGCGGCCATGTGAGTCAAGTAACCATTCGCCTTGCTGGAAACCAGGACACCAACCACTTTCATGTGTGGTCGGCACCCTCCCATGCCCATTCCGCTGATTAGGACCTTGCGACATGGTCAGTGGTTTGGCTTCGTAGAAGACAACTTTTCGAGGAGTCTTACGTGTATGCATGTCCAATCTGGCTGGCCGAGCAACAAAAGACACCTTGATTCCCTGAACATTGCAATTCAACTGTCCGAGCCTGGGTATGTTGGCAAACCACTTTGCTCTTGCCCCCCCTAAGAATGAACAGACCCAAAAAGGCAAAGAACCAAAAACGGGGAAGTGAAGTCAAGCAACCAAAGCCCCTCAGATGCCCAGTGGCCATGGGAAACAAAGGGCATACTTTTTTTGGTTGGTTGACTTTAAAGGGGCACCCATACCCCCCAAAAAAGGAGAGAAAAAAGGCGGAATCCAGTTGGCAACAAGGGCCCGCAACTGCTTGCTGTTCATCCCCCCGGGTCGGGAAATCACACTCAGCATAACCAAAGGGTCTCCCGCGTACACTGCAGTTCACATGCCCTTGCAAGCTGGAGACCCTGAAGCCCCAAACGCGTACGGGTCAAAATTAAACCACCAGGGGACCAGGTTTTAGTCTTTGGCTCCATTTACCAGGGTTCCATTTGCGTGCGCATTTGTGACCCACAGACATATTTCCATAGGCGACCTTCTCACTAATAGAGGGCCCTGGTAAATGGAATGAAGCCCATCCAAAAACCAGTGCCATCTATGCCTATCCAAACTAACCTAAAAAGGATGCCTATGTGCACTTCATGAAGCCAGCAATACCCTTTGGCCTTGCTGGAAACACTGTTTTCAGAGGTCCCTGTAAAACCAACAGAAGGGAATACCAGGTATCCTTAAGCAGATCTTCCAGATATGGTCTCTTGAAGCCTTGAGCCGGACAAGACGCTCTTGAACCTCATTTTCGGGCACATCGAAACCCACCGGTGGATGTGCCGCTTCTCGTCCCCAGAAAACGGAAAACGGGGGGGGGGGTCACAGAAATGGGCTGCGTCGGTGTTCCGTGTGGTTCGAATCAAGACCACCAACAAGGGGTACCTGGTGGCTTGGCTTTTTTCGGTTTTCCTGGCTGTCTAACAAAAGGGGGGTGCCAACTCTAAAAAGGAGAAACCCTAAAGCCCAAAGCCCTCCCTCCAAAGCGATCCATCACCCAAAGAGATCCATCACACAAAGCCCTCCCGCCCGAACAGCCACGAAGCCCATGATCTCAAAGCGAGCCGGGCTTCGCCTTCCTGCGCCATGGCCTGTGGCGAAAAACCTAACCCCAGCCGACGCGCTTAATGTTGACTCCACATGAATAAACCAACCAGTTTGTTAATAGGGGAGTGTCCTGCAGAGAGCTATCTAGATTTTGCAGGGATAAATTCAAATGTAGCTGCACATGTGCGGGCATTTTCACTGCAGGGAAGTTGTGGGCAGCTGTGCAGCTGAGACCATTGCAAGGGAGCAGGCAAGTTCATGGCTGCTGGACACCTTTGCGCGGTACCATGGCTTGTGAAGAAACAGTGAGGGATTCATCACTTTTGGAGGGGAGCACCTCCATATGAAGGGTTTATTTGTCCGGGGTCAAAATTAGCGAATGTGGACCACCCCTCCTTAGAACTCACTCCTGAACGAGTGGAACAAAAACATCCTGTACAAGACTATGCACGGAGCGTTGCTAGCTAAGGGTCACCCTAAAATATGAAAAACGTCAACCTGAACTCTGACTTCCGAACGAGACGAGCTTCCCAACAAAGAGGTAGCCAAACTGTTTGAGTGCCAGGATGGTCCAAGCCCGAGTTTACAGCCCAGGAACCTGGGAAGTGACTATCATGAACTTGGATTCGGGGGTGGGATTTCCATGTGTCAACACTCAAGCGTAGCAAGTGGCAGTTCACTTTCTGGGAGTCCTGCAGACGGACCACCCGTGACCAACCCGCCTCCCTCCAATTGGATTGGATGGGTGGTTTCGGAGATTGAACCCCTCCTAACCAAACCACCACAGGGAAGCTGAAGGCTCTGGAGGAAAACAACCAGGAAACCAGTTTGACACGGAAGCCAAGTCTGCATGCGTGTGTCACGGTCAAAACTTCCCCAAAGGGGTCGAAAAACCATCTCTACCAACCAGTAAAACAGCGTTGTGTATGCCATATCAGATGTGGTGGTTGGCCTCGCTGGGTTGGATGTGGAACAAGTTGGGGGCGTTTGCTCCTTCTTAACACTCCGGAGGGCAAATCGGAGGTAACAAATGACAAGTCCGCCTTCCCTTCCGGGGGTAAATGGAACCCCCCCGATAAACGGAACCCAAAGATCACCGCATCCATCCATCCATCGATCGCATCGATGGCCTGTGCTGCAAGGGCTGCAGCCACAGTGGCCGGGGTGCCGCTCATCACATCTGGCGCGACATTGGGACTTGGATCAGACCGCGGCCTTCTGGCCTCTCATAGCATGGCCCAACTGAAGGGTGGGAGTCGGAGACTGAGTCTGATCCGGATTCATACCTGCAGTCTCCGGAGCTGACCCTTTAAACAAAAATGGGCCAATGACCAACCATGATTTTGGGTTTTCTGACCAACCATTGTCTAAGTGTCATGGAGACTCCAGGTATGTGTTGGTCTTGAGGGTATTCGGGGTGGTTTAAAAACGGAAACCACCAGGAAAGCCAGCATTTTTGTGGGTGCCCCCTAGTTTGACACATACCCATAGTCGAAGCCTCAACAGAGACAACTTTCGACAAGTTGCCATCACCAGCTTTGGTCCTTGTGAGAGACCAACTGCTTTCCAGGACTGAACAATCTTCCATGTTGGATGGGAGGATACCTATGTGATGTTGACCCGGGATCAACAAAGAACACCAGGCGAAAGGTTTGAAGATTTCTCAAAACAAAAATCAAATGAAGGGAAAATGAAACAGCAGTATCCCTGAGTCAAGATTTCCCCACAGATGTACACCCATGACTCCAAACTATAGCCTTGCATGCCTGGTCTATAACCTCCTAGCCTTACTAAACTTACAATCATATAGATGGCATGTGCCCTTTTCAGGACTCAAGCGGGTTGGCCATTGATTTTTCAAGT